ACAAAATGCAGTACAGAAAAAAAAGAGTAAATAAAAAAGCGATGCATTCATTTCTCATTTGTTTTTCGTTTCAATTCTTTTAGTTTCTATTGTGTTCATATATGACAATTAATTTCAGTCGATTCGATTTCATTTCATTTTCACACACACAAACTGGATTGAATGATGAAAAAATTCTTTACAAAACAAAAAACAATAAATAAATAAATAAATGAATGAATGAATCATGAAAGACAATGATGAATTTGTAATGATAAAAAATAGACAAACTAATAATAAACTCGATCTGTCGGTCGGTCGGTCGGTCGAATCGGTCTGTTTTTTCTTCACCAAAAATGTTGAATGTGTCAATTTTTGTGTGACATTTGTACCGATAGACTTTGATATAAATGTTTGATAATGAAAACAAAAAGATAGATAGATATTGATAACACCAAAATCGTAATCGAAACTAGAATTCTGTTGTTTTTTGTTTTCATTGATTGAATGTTATCGTGTTGATGTTATCTGTTGTCTGGACAACCGATAAAAACTATTTTGAAGAAAAAAAAACAAACCAACACGACAATAACAAATTCCATTCCAATATGTTTTGCTATCGATGATTTTTATTATGAAACCATATTTATTGATGTTTTTCAATTCAAATGGAAAAAAAACATTTTCCTGTACAAATCACTATTATTACTTGTTTTGTCAATTTATTTCATTTTTCTTGAAATTAATTTCATTTGAATTGATTTAAATAATTGATTTTGACAATCAAAAAACATCCAAAAATAAAAAAAAACAATAATATTAATGACATTTTCGAAAGTTGTCGAAGTGATGAATGAAAGTGAAAGAAAAAAAATGTTATGGTTTTGTTCTAATAACTTTTCTGCTTCTTCTTCTTCCTATTCAAATAGATTGCCTTATCAATCATTGATTGATTCGAATAATAATAATGATGAAGATGAAAAAACAAAAATCCAAGATTGTTATGTTTTGTTTGTTTGTTTTGAATGTGTGTTTGAAACCACCCAATGGAATTTCAAATTCCAATCAAACCAATCATTGATTTGATCAAATAGTGTGCGTTTGTGTGTTTTACTGATTTTGATGATGGCGGTCGATTTTGGAACCAAAAAACAAATAAAAAACACGAATGAATTTTATTTTCTCAAAATAACGAAAATAATAAAAATAAAACCTGGTTTGAACATAAAGAAAAAAGTAACAAGAATGAATAGAAATTTGATTATAAACAAAAAAAAACAAAAAATTTATTACAACAATACACATAAACACTAACAATTGGAATTGTACTATTCCCGATTCGAATTGATAGAAATTGAAATGAAAAATATTCCTATGCCATAACAACAACAACAATGCTGTTGATGATGATGACTGTGAAGATGATGATGATGATGATGAAAGTAAAATTCCAATTCCAAATGGAATTGAAAATGAACAATTCGTTCTTCGTTTGTTTGTTTGTTTCTTTCTCCTGGTTCGTTTCTATGTGTTTTGACTAACAAAAATTGTCTGTTTGGCTTTTAAATATTAGATGTACATTATTGTTGTTGTTGTTGAATTTTTTTCATTATTCTGCTTTCGTTTCGATATTATTATTTTATTCTTCATTTTTACATCGACACGTTACACATTATTGTCATCACAATTCCTTTTTTTGTGATGAACAAAGATTGTTGATTGGTTAAGATAAATAATCTATTTTTGAAAATAGAAATGCTTTTCTTTTTTTTTGTTACATTTCGATCAGTGTGAAAAAATTCTCTCGCGAGAATTCTTTTTTTTTATTATTATTTGTACCTTTGTTTATTTTTCATTGATTCTTTGTATGTGACGTTGATTTTTTTCCAAATATCTTTTTCTTTCATTCGTAACTTTATCGATTCGAATGTGTCTTCCAATCAATTTCAGATCATCATCATTATCATTACTAACGAACGGTGACCGTATGTTTTGTCCATGTGTGTGCGTGTATGTGACATCTAATTTTATAATGATGATGATAATAACAATAACAACAACAACAATGATCATTGATTTTCTCTTTCTCCTCTCCATATTGATGCTTATTTGACCAGATTATTATACAGTTTATCAATTATTAATAAACAAAACAGATATGAAAGAATTTTCTATTATCATTATTCTTGTTTTTTTTCATAAAATCTTATAAATAATCATCATAGTATCCATTTGATTTACAGAATTTTTTTCCATCAAAATTCTTCTGTTTTTTTGTGTATGAAAAGCAAAAAAAAAGAAAATTCAAATAATGAATCCAATAGAAAGATATTTGATAACGTAATTTTAATTGAAAAACAAATTGATTTTGATTCGATTTTTTTCGGTTTTTGTTTTGTTTATTATTTACCTAAATTAATACAAATTACATTGTATTCTAAATCTCTTTTCATTCACTTTTCGATCTCGAATACTACTGTTTTATTACACAAAATTAATGTTATCTATCAGGTCATCATAATTTATCATTATTTTTTGTTTTCATTTATTCTTTTGTCAACATTTTAATGATGATGTTGTTGTTGTTGATGATGGTTTCAGTGAAAAACGAGAAATCACAACTTTTTGAGAGTGCAATGTAGGGAGTGAGAGAGGAAAAAATTAATAAACTCTCTTCAGTTCAGAATTCCTGTTCACCAACATCATTATTATTGGAAGTTTTTTTTTCTCGGTAATAACTTGATTTTTTTTTACTTTTTTTTCTCTCAATACCCCTTTCCAAAACCATTAACGTTGAATGAAACAATTTTTTTTATAATGAAACAAATATTAATGAAAATAAATTTCTCCCGTTCTCGGTATAACAACAACAACAACGACAGAAAAAACGGGCGATCGACAATATTGAACATATGGAACCAAATTTTTTTTTACATGTTGAAATGTTTGATTTTATTTTGTTGATAGACTTGTGTTATAATGATGATGATGATGATGTAATACATATTTACAAATTGGAAAATGTTGATTATTTTTATTTTTTAAAATGCAAAATTTGTATTTTTTATTTCTTTGCTTCTCTTGATAAACAATCAATTGAAAAATCATTAGTTTGCTATTGGCATAATTTCATCAACAACGATTCTATCCAGGTTTTATAAATTTACCCGTAATCTATTATCGACTAAACAACAAATTTCAATCAAATAGTAATTTTCTTCTTTCTCATTTTATTCTTGTTCCAAAAAAAATACACGTAACATTCATTTACGTTGAAAAAGAAAAAGGAGAATCTTGTTTGTGTTGTAATTTGAAACAAACAAACAAACAAAAAAAAGCAAACAAATACAAATCTGACTGATTTGTGTATACACGCAAACACATTTTCATTGATGTCCATATGTGTTTTTTGTTGTTGTTGTTTGCTTAGAGATTGTACAAGTATAAGTGCAAAATACCAAAAAAAAGAGAGTTACTGTGATTGAATAAAAATTCCATTGGAATATAATTTATCATTATCAGTATTAATGTCATTTCAACTGTGAATGATCTAATTAACGAATTTAGACATCTAGAGCTGATGCACACAAACACAAGAATATATGCATGTCGACAAAAAGTTAGATTCCGTTCATTCCAATTCAATTCAATTTGTTTGTTATATAACTATCATCATATATTAGAATGATTTTGATAAAATAATTTGTGTGAAACAAGTTTGTTTTGTGTTGAAAAAACAAATGAATTTAACAGTAATGACACAGTAATTGTAATGGATGCTTTTGAAAATTGAACAAAGAATAATTCTTGATAACTTGATATCAAAAACCAATCAAACAAATAACAAAAAAAAATTTTGGATATCAATTAACACATTTCTTGTCATCATCTTGGTCGAAATGGATTCCTTTCATTTATTTTTTTTTTTCGTTGAAATATTTAATTCATTTTCCTGTTCGTGAATTTCCAACTACAAATGTTGATGGTTATTATTTTTCATCCATCCATTTTATTTTGTATTGTTTTTTTTTGAAAAAATTCATCTCGAATTTTAAATTTTCAATTTTTCCCTTTGTCATAAAACTTCGTTCATTTTTTTTTCTCATTGATCTTCTTTAAAAGTCGAACAGAAATTCTTTTCTTTTTTTATTATTATTCCGTTTGATTTTATGGGCTTTTTTTCTCTCAGTATTGTTGTTTATGACAAGCGCCATTAAATATTAAAAATGATTCTTTTATTTCATTTTTTTAAAATGATTTCTTTTGTTTGAAATGTATTTGAAAACGTTTTTTTTACGATTTATAAATGAAACCATTTTGAGGAAAAAAAATCCATTGGATGATGAATGAATCAAATGAGAAAATCTTATAATTAGTAATATGAAAATTTTGGTCGAGAATCTCAAACCAAACCAAAACATACAAGGAAAACTCTAGAAAGAAAGAAAATGCAAAAAAAAACTTTTCTATGAGAAATTCCAAATTTAACATTGCAATTAATGAGTGTTTTTTTCTTTCTTTCTTTCAAAATTCAGATTCTTTAAGATTCTTTCTTTTCTTTTTTGTTCAATTTCTTGCTTTATTGTCAACCCAAAGTGATGAAATACCAATCATTTATAAAATTACATATCTTGAAAGTCTTATGTGATTTGATTTTATTTTTATTCATTATTTCATTAGATGAGAAATTCTCTCATCAGAAAATCTAATCTTCAATTAAATCAACACATTTCATAAGAATTTTCTTTTCTGATTTATTTTTTTTTCTCTCTATAGGTTTCAATCGATCCGGAATTTTTCAGCAGATCAAATTTTTCTTATTGAAGAAAAAGTTATTTTTATTTTTCTTTCGTTCATTATTGATGCCGAAACGATCAACAAATATAAATGTCATCAAAATTTTCAATCTCATCATCATCATTATAGTATTGTGTGTGCCTATCTATCTTATTTTATTTCTTTGATCTGATATTTTATTAATCAGTTTTCAATGTAAAGATATGTTATCATGTTCATCTTATTATCAATATTTATCATCTATTTTATTGATAATAATAATCGTCATCATCATCATTCAAAGATACGCTGAACCCGGTCATTCCCGGACAGCTCCATTCAATTGAAGCCGACGTAATGACAAAATGCCTGGCGGTCGTAGAGGTCTCGTTGCGCCTCAAAATACATTCTTGGAGAATATTATTCGTCGATATAACTCGTTGCGTAAGTTTGTTTTTCTATGTTTGTTTATCAATTTACTTGATTTTTATTTAATTAATTTTTTTTCCTCATTATATTTAATCAATCAATCGATGTCTCTTGTCAATTGTTTTTTTGTTTAAATTTAATCAATTTGGTCATTCATTAAATGTTTTGTTGTTGTAGTCATCAAATTTTTTTATTTATTTTGATCATTCAAATAATTCTATGGAAAATAAATTATACATTGTAATAGTGATGACAAATTAAAAGGGGAAAAAACAAATATTCTAGATTATTATTCATTGTATTTGCCTGTAGCTAAAATGATAACATGCACAACAAATACCGACCAATGACTTTAACAATGAGTGAAAGCACTCTATCTCTAGATAGAAATCTTTATCTATTTTCAAAAGAAATTATTTAGTTTGTTTCTATTATTCTGGAATAAAAGAGAAAAAAAATTGTGCCCTATAGTTATTTTCCGTAAATTTTTCTTGATTCCAATATCATAAGTTCATTCGATTCATTTTGGTGGATGATAAATTGTATAGCTGAATTTTTTTTTGATTAGATTAGATCATAGAATGATAAATGATTTTTATTTTAATGCTTTCAATAAATAAATAAATAAATAAATTGATGGACATTTTGTCATTATTATCCAATAAATAAAATTATAGATATTCTTAAAATTAGTTTATAAACAGAGAGTTGTTGTTGCAATTTTTTCTTAAATAATCATTTTTAGATTGTTGAAATTACACCACCCAGACAATAATATTTGTTTTTTTATTTTGAACACCTTTTTTTTGTTACCAAAATGAAAATGAAATTAATATTTAGGTCAAATCATTGTCCTAAATACCTTTAAAAACGTTCACGCAACAACAAATTATTATTATTATTAGTTATTCTTATTTTCAATCATCGAATATGATCTTTTGGTCAATTTTTTTATGACATTTTTTTTCCATAAACAGAACAACAGAATTACATATTTAGTTCCGTGTTTGGTTGTTGTTGTTGTTGTTGTTTTGATTTGGTGTCAGTAGGTATTTGGATGATGATGACCCTATTAATCATTTTATTTCGTTTGAAACGTTTTTTTTTTGCTATTAAAAAAAGCTAATATTAATGATAAAACTTTTTGGCTAGTTGAAAAGTCAATTTGTTTTGTTTTGTAGAATAGGATAACATTTCATTGAAATGTAAAAAAAGGTATATTATTATTATCATCATACATACATTATTAATTTTATAGTTAAATCCATTCACAATAGAATACATATGATTATGATGATGATGATCATATATGATGACCATTCCAATATTTACGTGTGTATATATCAATGTGTGTTTGTAGGTTAGATATTATTTTGCAATGAGAAAAAAATTCTTGATTTTTCAACAGATTTTGTTTCATTCCATTTGTTATTTCTATTATTTATTCTAGTTTTTTTTCAACATTGAATCATACACACACAAACACACATCACATTTTTCAGAATCATTCTTTTCATTTCAGTTCGAAGATTTTTTTTCACATAACAAAATGAGACCAAAATGTGAAGAGCTGTTTTTGAATTTTTTTTTCTTCGCCAAAAAATAAAACCAATAGGATTAATGTTCAACAAGAATAAATGAAAGAAGAACAAGATTTGTTGTTGGATCATATTGTATAAGCAATAATAAATAGTAGTCATACCAAGGTTTTGAACAATATTAGAGAATTGAGAATAGACCCTTTAGAAACATTGAGATATAACGTTATTATGTATAGAGAATAATAGTGAGTGTGAGAAATGATTTCATTTTGGATTTTACAACGACAACATATATTACACTATTCGATTCGAAGAGGTTTTTTTTTTGCAATTTTTTCTTACAAAATTCTATCATTCATCATTTGGCAATCTAACCAAAAGAAAGAAAGTGAGAGAATAAAGAGATTGAGAAAAACATGGAACAAATTCAAATGAACAAACAAGCAATGTTGATGATGATGATGATTATGAAAGAAGATTTTTTTTTTTGTTTGCTTTAGTATTTGAGAATTTATATAATAAGAAGATTCTTTTTGCAATATCGAATATCTTATATATCATTATCATTTATATAAGATTTTTTTTTTCGTTGTTGAATTTCTGAAAATGACCAAAAAAAAAGGATCACTTTATCCGATCATAGCAACAGCATAGATAGAGCCATTATTTTGTGGTTATTTTCGGGAATTTCCTTTTTGTTTTCCTAGAAAAAAAATTCATCAAAATGCATTTCAATTCAATTCAATTATTGCATCAATTATTCAATGGCAAATGCCAAAAAAAAATATTGATTATTCATTATCATTATAATTATCATGATGATAATGATAATATTCAACCATTGACAAGAATTTATGTACGAATGTTATGGTATATCATTTTCAATTCATACAAACTATAGGAATTTGATGCATTTATTTTTTTACCAAGTTTATTTTTGTTTTCCTCTCCAATCAACTTTATCTATTCACAATGAATGGTTCCATCATATCATTATATAGAATAAAAAGAACTGTGCCAAAACACCTTTTAAATTGAATTTGTTTGTTTGTTTGTTTGTTCAAATATATATCAAATTTAAGCTTTACGGCATTACATTTGATTTAATTTTCCAGCAATTTTCATATTTCCATCATCATCATCATCATCAATCGTTACATCATTCTATTGAGAAAGAGAAAAAAAAAGTAAAGTAAAGTGAAAAAAAAGATTCTTTTCACTATTGAATAGATTGAATTTGGAATTTATTTCAATTTATTATATGAAACAGAAGATGATGATGATGGAAACGAAAAAATAAAAAATAAATAAAAACTTTGAATGAATCGAAATTTTCGTATTCAATTCAGTTGGCTTTTTGAAAAGAAAAAAAACCAATCAATCATATATCATATAATGGTAGTTTTTTGTTGTTGTTACTGTGTAGGATTTTGCATCAAATAAAAAAAAAGAAAGAAGAAGTTTATCTCTGATCAATGTTGACATAGATGATGATGATAATGTTAATGACAATCATGATGATGACGATCCTGATGAAATATGAAACAAAAATTAAACTGTGGGAAATAAAAAACAACTATGATGATATAGTATAGTGAAATTCTTTCTTTGATTTCAATTTTGTTTTTATTCTATACTACTCAATCACAAATAACTGTGATTGTTTTTTTTGTTTTTGTGGATTTTTTTATTTTTGATTTTTTTTCATGAAATGTCTGGTTGTTGTTTCAGTTTTTTGTTGTTGTTGTTGTTGCTGTTGTTTTGAGTTTTGTTTCCGAATCAAACTCAAATCGTATGAAAACAAAAGAAAGACAAAGTGAAACAAAACGAAAAAAAAAGTTTTAAAATTTCGGCCACATTTCATTTCATTTCAATTTTTTGTTTGTTTCCGAATCTATGATAGATTTTTTTCTGGTTTTTTTTGTCGATTCTCTGCTTTTTTTTCCATTTCAATTTATCAAGATTGAGTTGATTCGACTGTTTTTTGTTTTGTTTTATTGATAACATTGATGATGATGAACGATTTCTTTGCTTTTTTGTTGTTGTTGTTGTTTTGATTCGATTGCGAGACGTGTCTAAATTTGCTTTTGAATTATTATTGTCCATTATTATCGGAACGATCCGATTCTTCGTTGCTTTGCTGTGTGATGACAAGAGAAAGAGAGAGAGAAAAAGAAAAAATGTTCACATTTTTCATCATCATTTTTTGTTGTTTTTGTTGCTTTTTGCTTCTTGATCAGAGTTTTCTCTTTCAAAGGAATAGAATACAAAAAAAACCAAACGATAATCCATCCAATACACATAAAGAGTTGCTTGTTTCGAAAATGTATATGCTGCTAAAATTTGAATGAAAAATTAAGTTATGAAGATTATGTATAATTAACATCGAAGGTTTTTTTTTGTTTTTGTTTTTATTTTGCTCCATTGTAACATATCCCAATCTTTATTTATTGTTTTTGTTTTTTTTCAGTTACGGCTTATTCTTTATCATCATCTAAATTGACGGTGTATGCATTCATTGTTTTCATTACAGAATTTTCAGTTGAATTTTTGTTTCCCGTATTTTTTTCCATCATTCATTCATTCATTCATTCACTTATGTTACACCTATGTGGTTTTATTTTCTCATATATTCACCCCAAAAAAACAGAGGAAAAAATCAAACAAAAGGCATTTTTTGTTCATTTGTTTTCACTTGTATTTTGGCAAGTTTTTTTCTTTATGCAAAGAATATATTTTATAGATATTTTCTCGCACAACTTAACTTTATTGTTTTCATTTTGTTGTTGTTGTTGTTTTTTATTCTTAAATGCAAGTAAAGTTTTTTTTTCATTTATTTATTTATTCACTTCAACAACAACGAAGAAAAAAAACGTAATAACAATAACAGTATCAGGAACGCATCGGGAAAATTTTCTTTTCTTTTCGTTATTATTTTAAGCTGAATGGATTTTTTTTTCTCACAAATGATTGTCGTCGTTGTTTAACTTTTTTTTTTATTTTCACAACGATATTCCGTTGGTTTTTGTTTATGGAATCATAACAAACGGTAGTAGGTCGTCGTCTCTTATACACTCCATCATCATTTTCCATATAAATACATATCAGGCAGCAAAACAACAACAACAACAAAGTATCGTCATTTCTTTTACACAATCGATTCCTTAACACACACACAGTATTTCTTACATATATTCTCTTCATATTTTTTTCTCCTTTCTAATAACCAGATTATTATTAATATTTATTATTTCTTGTTGTCTATGTCTATTCTGTAAGGGGTGTATGTGTGTTTGTGTTTGTATTGTCATGATAAAAGGTTTTTTTCGGGGTCTTCTGGTTGTTGTTGTTGTTGTTGTAAACAAGACAATATATAATATAGCATCATCGAAATGAAGAAAAGAGTTCAAAATTATAATAATAATAATAACAGGAACGAAAAATTCAATAGTCAAGTTATTTTAGCTTTTATTTATTTATTTATCTCATAAAGAATTTTTCCTTCAAATAAAGGATCATCATTATGGTTATGATCATAATTATATACAGCTATTTTTTCGTTAATAGCAATCATAATTTAAACTGAAAGTAAAGAAAGAAAATTCTTCTTTCAAGTTACTTTGTGTTCAAAAAAAAAGTTATGTATATGTGTGTGAGAGAGAGAGAAAGATCAATTTCATTAATGTTCAACAACAAAATAGCCAATTCATTTTATTCATATAATATTTTTGTCAGTATGAATAGGAATCTTCACAAGTCTTGTTTATTTTAAGTGAATCCATTTTTTCAGTAAAAGAAATACAGGGAAGAAACAAGTTATATCATCATGATGTCAAGCTTTCAATATCTAATGTTAGTCTGTTTGTTTGTTTTAAATTCATCTTTCTTTTCCTGATGTTATTATCGCTGTGAAATGACATGAAAAAATTTTCAAACAGATATTTCTTTTTTCGGGAAAAAAATACTATGTAAATGTTTTAAATTCAATTTGTAAAGATGAATCAATTTTTCTTTTGATCAATCTTTGGATTCAATTGGCATCCATTTATGTCATTTGTATATTCCAATTGTTCCGATAATATTTGGATGTGAAATAATGAAATAAATAATGTCAAATTTCATTTCAAAAAATTTTCCTCTATCAAGTTAAATCGAGCATAGCTAACGAAGAATCTACTCAAAAGTTGGAATAATTTTCAGTTTGAAATAGTTATTGATGATATGATATCTTTATATATATGAAAAAATGGGTACTTTTTCCCTATTTTTTTCATTTCATTTGGACAAATGAAATTATTTTTCATAGTGATGAAATGTGTGTGTGTTTGGTAATCTTAAACTTTATTTATTCTTTTTTTCATTTTTCTCTCTCTCTATCACATAATTTCCTGTTGGCTTAAACTTTGACTAATACATAACATCAACAAACTTTAACATACATTAAATTTTCATTTTCATTACTGAATGTTTTCAATTTTGGAAAATTTCGAAAACTTTGACTGCATACATTCTGACAACAACAACAACAACATGTTCCAACAAGTTTGGACCAACAAAAAAAAAGAAACTTGAAAAATTAAATTCTTAAATACTTACTGTTTATAGTAGATTTTTTTTTCATTAACATCCTGGTTGACTGAATATTAATCCTACAAAAGAATCAAAGAACTTTTTTTTAAAATATAAATTAAAATTTTTCTGAAATTTATATTTCTTTGTTAATAATTCTTTTCTTTTCTTTTCTTTTTTTTTTAAATATAGCTGATTGCAGTTTTTTACTTGCCAATGCACAGATTGTCGACTATCCAATTGTTTATTGTTCGGAATCATTTTGTCGTATATCCGGTTATAATCGTGCCGAAGTTATGCAAAAAAGTTGCCGTTGTACATTTATGTATGGTGAGATGACCGATAAACAAACAATATCAAGAATCGAACAAGTATTGGATAATCATGTTATTGAACAATTTGAAATATTATTATATAAAAAAACACGTAAGTAATAAACAAATACATATATTTCTTACATATATTTTTTGCTTTGTATTGTCACATTATTTATTTATTTATTTTGCTTGTTATTTGTTGGTTTTATATTTTGGGTTGTTTTCGGTTTTATTTTATTGGGAAAAAAATGAATAAGAAAAATAAAAAACATTTACAAAAATAAATGTGTGGTTATAGTCAAATTCTTGTCAATTCGCTGGTTTCTGTTTTAAACATAATTTTCATTTGCTGAGTGTTTTAAATCTTTTTTGTTTATTTCTATTTTATTCAAAAGTTTTGTTTTTTGTTCAATAAAAATATATTTTATAAAATGTGTGCCAGTAAAGTGTGTGTGTATTATTTAAATATAACATGTGTTTTTCTATGAAAATCAATAATAAAATGTCACCATTTGCTTCCTTCATCACAACCATCACCACTATCATCACCCATTACTATTTTACATTAAAATTTTTATTAACATAAAAAATAGATTTAAAAAATTGGATAAAATTTAATAATAATTTTTCCTGGATTATCAAATGACCAAATCAAAGGAATATTTGGGTTTGGGTTAGTGGCCAAAAAAACAAAAACAGACAAAAAAAATTTCCTTTTTATTTTATTACATCATTTTTTTAGAAAAGAAATTCTCTTGAGAAATCCTGTTGATGAAGTATTCTTTTTTTTCTATTTTCGTTCGTTGTTGTTATTCTGACAAATATATCAGAATATCAATATCATCATGTTTATCATATGAATAGATTGTGTTCGATTTTACTGTTATCAATGTTGTTTTTTCGTTGTAGTTGTAGTTGTTGTTGTTCTTGCTGTTATTGTTCCAATGAAATCTGATACTATCTCTATTTGACATCAAATGTGTGAATGTAGTTGGTAAAAGAATCTTTTTTTTTTCGCTGTTTTTTTTCCAAAGCAACAACAACAACGAAAATATCTCTATTCAATCGAAAATATATCCATTGCTTTTCATCATGTTCATCATTTTCAATTGAGCATATCAATGAAAAAAACAGAAACACAAAACAAAAACGAAACCGATAGAAAAAACGAATCGATCCATCTGGGCAACAATTTTACTTTTTTTTGTTTTGATTTTATTTCGATCTGTATAATTTGTATTTCATTAATTAGTTGATAGTATAGTCTGGATATCAATTTTTTTTGATCTTTCAGGCAATTACACATACTGATGATCATCAAAAAAAATTCTGAAAGTAATATCAGCTGATATCCGATGATATTCGATGATTTTTGTTGCAACAACAACATCAACAAAAACAAAACAAAAAACAATAATATTATATAGATCAAACTTAAACATGTCTGGTCTGGTATATGATCACAACAAATATTTATCTTTATCTCTATCTCTCTCACTCTTTGTATTTCAAATTCAATTCTTCACATTTATTTGTTTGTTTGTTTGTGTTTTTTATTTTCTCATATTCAATGATGATGATGATGATGATGAAGAAATATATAAATTGTATACATTGTATATATTGTATGCCAGATGGATAGTCAGATACAGCTATTTATCTATCCAACTATCTATTTAACTGAAATATTCGTGTAAATATTTACACGAATTCATTCATTCATTCATTCTTATTCCCATTATATACAATGAACAGTGTAACAGAATTTGCAAAAAAAAAAATTCTGAATAGGTTCGAAGAATATCATCATTATATGAATATCATCATCATTTATTCATTCAAGCCTTTGTTTTATCCATTATATCTATTTGGTTTCCATGTCAAAACATTTTGTTTTTTTGTTTGTTGTTTATTTTTACAATATACAGAATACATTGTTAAGTCAATTGATAATCTTTTTTGTTGTTGTATTTATCCTTGGACATTTCTTGTTACACAGAGAAAACAAATTCTATAAACATAAATTCTATACAAGTTTTTTTTCCTCCATACAATCAATCAATAATCATTGATTTAGGTGTCTTCATCATCATTGTTATATCATTGTTATTGTTGTTGTTCATCAATCGTCAATTTGATGATGATGATGATGACAATTTTGTTTTGTTTTGTTTAATGTTGATTAGAAAATTAGCCGTTACCACCCATCAAATATTATTATTATTATTATTATCATTATCAACTGTTGTTGTAATGTAAACAAAACTAAAACAAACATAAACAATATGAAAGATAGGGTAATTAATATTCAATATTTTTTTGGTTTGATGGTTTGTTTGTTCCAATTCTTTATTCCAATGGTGCTTATTATGTTTTATTCCATTTTCATTTTCATTTCGTTTGATTTTTATGTTGATTTTTTTTCCATCCTGTGATGATGATGAATAATAAACAAGATCAATGATCTTTCTGAAAACTTTTTTGTTTTGTTTTGTTTCATGATTCTCAATGGTTTCTGGAAATTTTCCATTTTTGAAAACAATGAGAATTTTCTTCTGAATAATTACAATTTCAAATTTTTTTTTTCTTTTCAATTTTTTTCTGTTCATCTATATTCGATTTTCAATTAATTTCATCTTTGTCAAGCCAAAAAAAAAAAAATCCATCAGAATTATTAATATCATCATCAACATTGCCCATAATAATTATCATAATGAATGAATATAAATTATTCTTGCTGATTTCTTTTTTTCTCACTACTATCCACACTGTTCGTTGATTACTTTTGAAATGAAATTGCACAAAGAAATTGCAACGAATAACAAAGAAGAAGAAGAAGAAAAAAAATCTGAATTTTTTTTCTTTACACGCCCAAAAATATACAGAAAATTAATAAATTCAATAAGATTCGGCTATGTTTCAATTAACACTTTTATTATACAAATATACTATTGAATAAAATGATAACGACAATGATGATGATCATGATTATTAAAATCAGCCATTCAAATTTTCATTTTATTTTTTTTTTTAAATCAACTTTGTATCGTTTATATCGACACATATGAAACAATTACATTGAAATTATATTCAGATTTTTTTTTCTGTCTGATATCAGAATAATTTGTTCGAAATGAGATATTTTTTTATATTCAGAAAATTTCTTCAATACTCATTAACTGAAATGATTATTGCAATCTATTTTTTTCTATTCCAAACTTATGGATTTGATAATTTCAACCAAAAAAAAACATTGATTTTCATAAGAAAATTCTCTTTATTCCCTAGGATTCAACCGATAATTATCTTTCCTTATGTTACAAAAAAAAGATAATTATTATGTATAATCAAACAAAATAACCGAACTAACAAATCTATTGATGACGATGAGTGCATATATGTTTTTTTCTTTTTTGGTTTTCATTTAATTTGATTCAAATTGAATTGAATTAATCAATCAATCAATCAATGAATTTCAGTGATTAACGCAAATGATTTTGACATGAAATTTAGATCATAAGTATAATTTATTTTCATCTTATATTCATGCTATGTCATCTTTTTGTTTTCTTGGTCTTGTTTGGTTTCGATTTTGTTTTTTTTTGCTTGCCGATCCTGCCGATTGATCTGTCATGACAATCGATTTCCTTTTTTTTTATTTTTCTTGTACTTAATATCAATTGTTGTATCGATTTCTAATTAAAAATTTATACTGATAACAATTACAGCCATCGGCCATCAGATTCAACAACATCATTGAATATCATGATTGTATTGTTGTTGAATCATTGTTTTTTTCTTTTTCTCTCTTTCACTGGTTTGTGTTTTGTCCATGGTTGTTAAATCCAAATAATAATGAGTCATAAATCAATTTCCCGTCAAAATAATAATGAAATGAAAAACATCAGAATTTCATTACATTATAATTGAAAATTTCATCGAAAAAAAGTTCATCAAATTATTAGATTGAAGAATTTTTGTTGTTGTTGTTATTGTTGCTTTTCTGATCTAAAGATCTTTGAAAATACATTTGATGAATGAAATGAAATGATCAAATGTAGCAATTAAATTTAATTGGTATAATTCTTTAGATACACTCACTCACTCACTCACACATACGAATTTACCTCGATATTCTTTGTTTTGCTTTTTAAGCCTCATTATTAAAAGAAATTTTTATTATTATTATTAAATTGTATGACTTTTTGTTGTTGATGATGCTTTTCTCAATTCCTATTTTGCTTTCAACGCTTTTTTAATACTATGTTGTTGTTGTTTTTTCGAATGATTATATTCAGAAAAAAAATGCAATTTTCGGGGAATGCTTTCAACGTTTTATCAATTTTGACCTCAATAAGTGTGTTGATTTTAACATTGATTTTCTTTGACTTTTTTTTGTTGTTGTCAAATGAATGTTTGTATTATGATTATGAAAATTCTAATTAAAATTCTGTCAAACAAACAAAAAACTAACTAACTAAATGTATTAAAAATGCTATTTGGCCATGTGTATGCATGAAAGATGTGCGATTCTCTATCTCTTTGCCGATGCTTTGCATTAGCGGTCGTTTAATATGGATTATTTTAGCTGATTATTGAAAACAAAAAAAAATTGCTCTATGTTTTGTTTGTTTGCTTTATATGAATTTTTTTTTCAATCATTTCTAAATCAAACAAAATAAAAATTTTAAAAAAATATGCAATTAAAAATCATATTGTAGGACCGAATTCAGCTGCTTCGGCACCAGGAACGCCAATTAGTCGCCATAATGCATCTTCTAGATCAAGCTCAGGTAAGCCTTAATGGAAAAGGATAAAGAAACCATTAGAAGCATTTTGTTTGTATGTGTGTGCGTGAATTTGTTAGCAAAACAAAAACACCAAATTTACATTTTGTTTGTTGCTTTTATCATCATAATAACAATAATAGAATTGAATCCAATTCTTCATCTTTCTCTTTCTCGTTGAAATTTCCATTCTTAATATTTTATTTTTCAATTTTTTTGTTTTGTTTTGTTTTCCTGTTCCACCTTGCATACAAATCGTTATAATCATGATGATGATGATCAAAAAGCAACAAAAAAAATTGAAATAAGAAAAACGGAACAGAATTCATTCATTCATTTTTTTTGCATTTGAATTTCTTATTGTAGATTTCATTTTCCCTGTTTTCAATTCTATCAACATATAGATTTTTTTTCTTTCTCTTTATAGTTTCATAAATAATTTATTCAATCATCGATGAATTTTTGTTGTTGTTGTTGTGTTATTCAATTCTTGTTCCATTTTCGTTGTTGTTGTTGTTGTTTTTTTTCTCTATCAAATCTCGTAAATTGACTTGATCATCCACGTTTTTTTTGTTGGTTGTGAGACAACAGAAATTACATGGTTTATATTACATTCCATTTTTGTTTTTTTGTTTTTTTTTTGCTTATTGTCTTTTGTTTCGTAAAACTATCTACTACGGTATCTATGAATTTCGTTTTTTTTTTGGTTTAGCAATAAAAAAATGTTAGACATTTTTTATGTTTTTTGAATGTTTGTATTGATTGCAGAATACATGAATCTATACACTGGGAACTTTTGAAATAAATTTTGTTGTTGTTGTTGTTGTTGTTGATGTTTCATCTTTGCATTCACATTCGATGTTAAAATAATCGATTTTCTTTTCCATTGGCTTGAAAAGTTATCATGCTTTTATCGATTTTCCTATACTTACCATTTTCATTTATTTATTGAAATTTATTTGTGAAAATGAAATAAATAAATTTCAATGTTATTGGAGACCAAAAAAAACAAATTCATTTATATTTTTCATATTCATAATTCAATACAGATTAGAAAAAAAAGGAAAAGTTAATCCAAAATATTTTTTTTCCCGATCATGGACGGGAAAAATTGATGAAGAATCAATGTTGTTGTTGTTGTTGCTGTTGCTGTTTTATTTTAATTTCATCAATGTTCCAAATTTAGCCTTCCTATTTTTGTTCCATTTCCATTTTCCGTGTATATGTACGTACGTATACGATAGTCATTCATATAACATCATCATCATCATCATCATCATCGTCTATATCCTCTCTCTTTTTTTTCTGACTGTTTTGGAATTTGAAACATTCTATTTATAGTAACCAAATAACCAACTCCCATCCACATACACACACACACACACACACACATTTTGTTCATCAAATTAGGTCATATTTTTTTTTCTTCTTCCCAAGTCTTCGCATATGAAGAAGCCATATATAATGATGATGGCAATGGTCGTTTTTACTATTGCTTTAATGGTCCATGGTCTAATTTATTTTCATTGAAAGATATTTATGTGTGTGTGTGTGTGGATGACCTTGTTGGCGTTTCTGGATATATATTTTTAGATTTTTTTATTTGCTTCTTGTAGACATTTATTCATACAAACATTTTTTTTCAATATTGAATTGTGTTACTGAATTCCGGGGATAAAATTTTGTAGTGAATTAAAAAAAACTGACTTGTTCGTAGAAAATTACGATGAATGGAAAAAAATAAAATTGACAAACAATGTTTGATTGTGATTTAAACACAGTAGAAAATCACCATTCACTATCTCATCATTATAATCATCAAAGTCATTATTGTTATTATTATTATTATTATCGACAAGAGACTAACAACAACAACAACAACAACAAACGAACAAACAATTGATTTGATTGCCCAAAAAAAAACTTTTTTTTTTGGTTCGTTTAAAAATGACCGATTCTGGGATGTTTTCTTTTTCATTTGATTTTTATTTTGATTCTGGAAAACAAATTGGATTTTTATATTTTTCGTGATAACAACAACAAAAATTGTTCATGTTTGATTATCATCATCATCATTTCATTGATTTTTTGATCTAGTTATTTATCGAGAACCAAAGAATTTTCTTCAACTTTTCTCTTCAATTCAATATTATTATCATTACGAATTTAATGACAAAAAAAAATACCAAGATAATAATTTGTTGTTTATTGAAAAAAAAATAGATTTAGAAATGAATTATGGCAGTGAAGCTCACTTTTCAATTGGAATTTAACCATTTTAGAAAATCCAATGGCTATACAATCCATACATGACATTCACTTTAATATATTACATACATACATTCATAATGATCATCAGGATAATGGTGAACGTGTCATTGTGTTTGAAATTACAAATGAATAAATGTATACAAAATGAGATATAACCATTGATGATGATGATCATGTTCGGTTAATCATAATCATCATCATCAATATGCTGATGATGTCAATGAATGTAGGTTCACTATGTACTACAAGGTTTTTGTATGTTTGTTGTCTGTATATAATAATTGACGTATAAAATAATGATTATAATCTAACTAATTTCTTTTAATGATGATGATTATTATTATTATTATTACAACAAATAGTTTCAACACTCATTATAGTGATGATGATTATAATACTAATAATTTTCGTTGTATTTTTTTTCTCATTATTGCTGTTTTTTTTGTTTTGTTTTTATATTTTATTGTCTCCATTCTTGTAAAATATTAATAGGCACACCATTATGGCTATTATTACAAGTGGCACCGATCAAAAACGAAAAAGATGTGGTAGTATTGTTTTTGCTCACATTTCGCGATATAACCGCATTAAAACAGCCAATCGAAGAAGATGCACAAAAAGGTTTAAGTAAATTTGCCCGTTTAGCTCGTTCGGTAACACGTAGCCGTTCGGTACTTGCTCAACAATTTTCATCACATTTACCAGTTATAAAAGCTGAAACTAGTTCAAATAAACAATATCATTTGGGCCAAGTAAGTAATATTTATGTTTTTTCATTTCATTTCACTTATTTCCCTTGTGATCAATGTTATTACTATTATTTCTCATGAGTATTGAAGAAAATTATCATCTTTGGATAATGATTATGATGATGATACAATCATATGAAATTCACCTTTAAGATCATCATTATCATCAGCTATATCAATGAAGATTTGAATTCCTAAAGGTTATATAAGAAACTCCAAAATTCAATTAGATTAGTTAGTTGTCTATATGATAATAATATCTACGAGTTTAATGTAATTCCATTCAATACAAATTCAATGGAATATAAGAACAAAAATATATGAGAAAAACATAGAAAAAAAACTATAGATCCCTATGAGAAATAATATAACAATTTTCATTGCTTTTAAACAATATTTTATTTCGTTACATTTTCTTTTTTACCCAAAATAATATTATGATTATTTTGATGATGTTAATATGAATTTTTCTATGCAATTTGATGTAGTAGTTTTGGACTACATTGAACCAACAACGAAAATCGTCAATATCATTAAAATTATTTTTCCAATTTTATAGTCCTGAAGCAATTTTTTTCCAATTTTTTCCCTGGCTATAACAAACTCAATTCGATGGAATATTTTTGAATATTAATGTTTATGTTTTATCAGAAAAACATTCAGAATTCTACTATGTCAATATTATTTGATGATGTTTTTTTTGCTTAATATTTTTCCCTTCTCTAATCATCATAAACGATTTGAATACAATTTCAATACAAAATCAGATTTTCAAGTATACAAAGTCATTTACCATCAGTATCTCTTATTAACAACAACAACAAAAAAAACAAACAGCAGAAATAGTAAAGAAATAAATTATTTACAACAAGACACAAATGGACAGATCTTATGTTTTTTGTTGTTGTTGAGTTTTATCAAATCAACAACAGAATAAAATTGAAAAGTAAACATAAATACTATTATTATTAAGATAAAGAAAGACAATGATACGATCTATTTGTAGTTAATGATTAATTTTCACCAAATTCTCTCTCTCACGCACACACACACATTCATCTTTTTTAATGTTGTAAATAAAAAGAAAAATTCTGCTGATTCAGTTCATAAACGCCATATGTACATCTTAATTTACAATAAGATCTCTATATATAAAATTCTTGCAAACAGAAAAAAAAGTAAAAACATTCAATAACCCCATCCAGAGTATAGAAAAAAAAATGACCAACTATTGTTTATATTTTCAAGTTTTTGGGGTTAGATTGGATAATATCGGGTATATTGATCGCATTAATTTCCATTGATATTTCCAATATGACTATTGGTAGAAATTTAATACATTCATTTTATTTATCTAATATAAGTTCAAAAGCAAATATTTAGTTCTATAGAAAAAAAAATTAAATTGTTTGTTTGTTTGTTTGTTTCGATAAGGACACACATTTGAAACAAACGAATCGATTTGTCAACAAAATTTATTAGGATTAATCTTTTGTTTTATAAAAATTTTCATTCAATTTATTCATTTTTTTTAAAAAAAGGAAAATAACAAACGCTTCAGATTACATTCACGTTTCTTTAAATTTCTTCTTTGTTTCATTTACAATCCTCTTATCATTTCTTATATAAAAAACGATAATAATATTCTTTTATTTTGTTTTCCAAGAAAAAAAAACAAACTACATTCTCTAATAATTGTCTTTTTGTTTTCTTTGTTTTTTTGATATTATTTCGACTGGACTTTTTATTCAATGGAAAAACATAAACAAACAAACAAAAAAAGTTGATTAATTTAAATTCAGATATATTGCCACAATATCGACAAGAAGCACCGAAAACACCTCCGCATATATTATTACATTATTGTGCATTCAAAGCTATTTGGTAAGTCAAGAAAAAAAACAGAATAACAAAATAATCATATTGAATGATCCAAATTGACATTTGAATTTTAAAAACTTTATTCTTTTTCCATCTTTTCAAAAAAAAATATTGTGTCTCATTATTCATTTTTGTTTTTTTTGGTTATCCCATAGGGATTGGGTCATATTATGTTTGACATTTTACACTGCCATTATGGTTCCATATAATGTTGCTTTTAAAAATAAAACTTCCGAAGATGTTAGTCTTCTCGTGCTTGACAGGTTTGTATTTATTATAAAACAAAAATTAAAAAAAAAAACAAAAAATTATTTTTCATTTCTCTTCTTTTTATATTTCAAATTCTTTCAATTATATTATTCAATTATAATTATTTGTGTCTTGAAAATTTCATTTACCTCATTCATTTTCAAGTGTCATCAGTTATGTTTCGCATGTTTTATTGATTAAATCAACTAAATAAATGAAAAATTTTTCATTTTTGTCAAAACAAAAACGAAAAAATTCTTTTCATTTTTTTTCTGGTTTATCCCTTGGAATAGGACAAAATCCAAACAAAATCATCATCAACATAGGATTTATTTAAATTTAACAAAAGAAAAAAAAACATTAATACCAATGTAATTCCAACAGATTTTGTTTTTTTTTAATAATATTAGTTTGAAAAGTGTAGAAAATCATAAAGGTCATCATCATCACCATCATACGTAAATTTCCCATTCGATTCTTTTCTTTTTTTCCCTTTAATCCACATTTTACTGTTATATTTCCACACAAAATGTAGTCAGCCATTTTCTTTTTGCTTCGACTATGACGTGAAGACATTAAACAAAAAAAAACGAAACTAAACTGAACGAGAGAGAAAAAAAACACTTTGTTCACTTGAAATTCCATAATTGTATTTGGTGGTATATACAAATAAAATGTCGTCGTCAATTCATTTAATACTTTACATTTAGTTTCATCAAGAAGAATCTCATCAACAAAATGACCCATGTATTAACTCCTTTTTTTGCAGTGAAGAAAAAAAAAATATTTTTATTATCATTACATTATATAAATGACTCGTGTTGATCATTAACGAAAATTTTTATTTTTTATTATTACGATATTATGTGAATATATAATGTCATCAAATCCACTATACTAAAGAAATCTTTTCATTATTCCAATATTAGACCATATATAACACACATATGTTCAAAGTAATTTGCTTTACCAAAAATAGAAAAAATCCCTGAAAAACAAAAACAAAAACTTTTTACTTTTTATTATCGAAAAGGTGGTTGTCACGGCGTTCGTTATGTTTGCTTCCACTCATATATGAACCAGAAAAAAAGTAAATTTTTGGGACCGGTTGTTTTTTTTTTTTGGTAGTTGTTGTTGTTGTCACTACAGTGATACAAAGAAAATCCCAGATATATATGATCAATATTAAATGCTTCAATGAAAATGAAAAGAAAAAAAAACAAATCAAAGTTACATACCTTGTAAAAATAAAAGAAGCTTTTTATATTGAACATTATAGTGATTTTTAACCTTTTCAATCGCTATATCGGATCAAAGTAGTTGAAAATCAATGCTGTCCATTATTCTGGTTATTTAGATTTATTTTTTTGTGTGAATAAAAGTGAATATCTTTCATTTTCCTTCTTCTTTCATAAATACCCCCCTCCTCGATTCTAAACATGTAAAAATTCAATATGAATCATTTGGAAGAAAAACCGGATTCCTGATATTGACATTATTTTTTTTTCTGCTGATAGTACCGATTTTTTTTTTGTTTGACCAGAAGGAAATATTTATTTATATCTCATAACAACATTAATTGATGGAAAAAATATCCATTTTTTTCATTGGAATGAATTTATTTATTGAAGATGAAAATTCTATTTGTAAAATAATGTTTATTTAACCATATAAAAATTGGTTAGATTTTTTTTTTGTCAGACTATTCGAGATTTCAGTTGGATAAATGATATATGTACATACAGATTCTTGCCAATACATCATTTCCGAGAAAATGAAATATTGGAAAATTCCACCAAATAAAAAAGAGAGTGAATGAGAGAGAAGACAAACACTATCAATATCAATATATGAATCTTATGATGTCATTACATTTTTTTCACTATATTCTTCTTCATATAGGAGACATATATGATGAAACCCAATGAAATGATTCACTTCTCAAAAAAAAAAAAAAAAAAACAAACCCAAAATTTGTAAACATTGAAAGCGATTCGAATAATTTAATTTAATTATAATTTCACTATTCGAGTTTTCTTTTTGTTGTTGTTGTTGTTGTTTTTCTTCGATTTTAATTCCATTTTATATATTTCATGATTAACCAAAACCAAATTTTTAAAATTAAATAATGCAAACAACCAAAAATATATTCGTGTGTTTAGGCTAAATTTAAATTTAAATTTGAATAAAAAAATTAAAAAAATTTCATTTAAAATTCAAAATTTATGAATTTTGTTGTTTGTTGTTGTTTTCAATTTGTTTCGTTTTTTGTTTCTTCTTTATTTCCTAAACTCTTGTTGATAGCATCGTTGATGTGATATTTTTTATTGATATTGTGCTCAATTTTCACACAACATTTGTCGGACCTGGTGGTGAAGTAGTATCCGATCCGAAAATTATTCGTGTCAATTATCTCAGGAGTTGGTTTATTATTGATCTACTTTCATGTCTGCCTTATGATATATTCAATGCATTTGATCATACGGAAGATGTAAGTTTTTTTTAATAATTGAAATTTTTTTTATTATTGATTATCATTTTTTGATTCTTTTTTTTTGAAAAACAAAAACACAGCAAGGTATCGGCAGTTTATTTAGCGCCTTAAAAGTAGTTCGCCTATTACGACTTGGCCGTGTTGTAAGAAAACTGGACCGTTACCTTGAATATGGTAAGTTTTTTTTTCTGAGTAGCTATTTTAACCATAATGGTTTAATGCATGAATGGATGCATTAAAAAATTAAGCTTCGAAATAAAAACAATAGAGAAAAACAAAAAAACAATTTTCCAAAAACCATAAATTCGACACCCGATCGAAAATTTTATCGTTGTCATCAACATTGATGATGATGATGATCAACATTCATTCATCCTTAGCATCGAAAATGTTTTATGTGTTATATAGATGTATTCAAGATCTGTGTGTTAAATTTCCATGTAATTTTTTAAAAATATTCTCTCAATCGACACACACCGAATCGAGTAATACATGGTACAAGATTTTAAATTTATGCCTGATGAAAGCATTTTCAATTTTTGTTTTCTTTTTCATTTTCATCATCATACAGTTCATCCCAATCTCATATACATGTTGTGGTATATATGCTTGTTTATGCTTGAATAACAAATAATTTCCGTTAGGACGAACGATATTTGATGATCATAATGATGATGATGACAACAACAACAAACGTGTGTCATACATACATACATACACAATCAACCATCAAATTGCCGATTCTAATATTCTTTGTTCAAAGCCTGTATTAGACGCGTATAAACATGAATCAAAAATAAAATAAAATAGAACTACCTCATTATTAACGAGAATGGTTTATGGTAACACGGGGGATATGGTGTAGCAAAAACCAAAATGAACATCAACTAAAATCTTTTCTTTTCCCTTAGTGAAATGATTGATAATTTGGAAATTGGGAATTAGTTTAGTTTTTTTTTCAACGAAAAAAATAGATTCTTCCTGTTTTACGATGTTTGATTGCTAAAAATGCTCAAAAGGATTTCATGATTTCCAATATTTGAAAGCAGCTGCTTCTGTTACGAATTTTTCTCTTTAGTATGAATTTTTTTTTCTTTAAAAAAAATTGATTTCAGAATTTATTTTGCGAATCAACAACCGGAAACATGAAAAATAAATAAGATAACTGGGAAAAAACCTTGGCATAATTCTCGGGAAGAATTTTCAATTTCTATTCATTGATTAAAATGGAAGTAAATTCATCCTGTTTCTTTACATCTAAAAAAGTTGATTATCATTATATAAGCTACGAACTGATATGAAATTTTAAACCTTGGATATCAGACATCAGACAACAACAACAACAACAAAAAACTAGAGAGTTAACATTTTGTTATCAGTCATTGATATTGTTGCTGTTGTTGTTGATGATGGACGTCATGAACAGAATTGAACACCATGTTTATAATGTTTCTTATAACCACCAATTGAATCATTTTCTGACATTGACGTTGAAATATGTCTGCATATGTCGTTTATACTCCCATTTTCTATCTATCTCCCTTCATAGCAGAAAAAAAGGTCAACACATTAAAAGCAACAAAACCTATAGAGGATAACCGTTAAAACCGCTTTGGATATGTTTCTAAACGTTTTCTAGACTATTATTCGATTCAATGTCGACATTTAAAAATAAAATCATTGAAAATGATTGATATTCAGTCAAGCGAATTGTAAATGGAAATGAAAATGAGAGAGAAAAAAAACACTACCACCAGCAACAAGATCAATTTAGGGTTTGCTCCCGGAATCCATCAACGAAATGATTTTTCTGAATCAGATTGAAAATAATAATAATAATAAAACGGTCTGAATTCAAAATTCTAATAATACGCCCGACAATGCATATATGATAATAATATCATATTTCTATTTTGAGATGAAATAGTTTTTTCTTTTGTTCGTTTACATTCGATACAACAACGAAAAAAAATTGAAGCTTAGAGATTTTGATTATGAATAAAATATACCTTGGCCCCCATACACACACAAAAAAAATTATTATCCATCATAGATTTGGGATTTCAAATTCAAATTCAAATATTTTTCCTTTTATATTTCAAATATTTAAAATAAAATACATCAAACAAACAAACAAAATTTTCAATCCAAAATGATAAAATTTTTTTCTACTTCTTCAATTTCTCTACACTCTAATAGGTGCTGCAATGCTTATTCTGTTACTTTGTTTTTACATGTTAGTCGCTCATTGGCTAGCATGTATTTGGTATAGTATTGGTCGTAGCGATTCGGAAAACTACCTCACTTATAGTTGGCTATGGAAATTAGGCAATGTTACACAGGTTTGTTTGTTTGTTTGTTTTTACATTACAATATCGATTATTAATGATTTATTCTTATTTCTTTTCTTTTTTGATATACAGGTATGTTATTATTTTTTTTGTTTTAATATCGAAAAAAATCGGAATTGATATATCAACAAAACAATGATAATGTTGAAAAACCTAAATAATAAAGGAAAATCGTACACATTGTTTTATATATTAATCCTTGGGATTAACGACAAAAAAAATAAGAAAAAAAGATTACCATCATCATATTTAACAATAACATATTGGAAAATAGCAATAGAGAATATCAACAACAAAAAAAAGATCATCCATGAAATAAAAATGAATGAAAAACGACAGGAGGATCAGAATCCGTTTTAATCATCCTGGAACAACAACAACGATGACGATGACGATGACGACGACCAATGAAATAGATTATTTAATAACAGAAAAAAATAAAGAATAATTCTCTTTAAGAAGATTATTGATGAAAAAAAACAAACAGGATAAAATGGAACCTATGTTGTAATCATCATCATCATTATCACTCGTCATCATCATCATCGCAATGTTGTTTGTGTTTTTATTCCAAAGCTAAAACTATCTTCAAAAAAAAAAATAATAATAATAATAAAAATACTATCGATATTTAATTATTTGTCTTTCACATTTCGACTTTATATCCTAATCAAATTTGTAACAACAACAAAAGCAGCAGTCCTTTATTTATTTGAAAAAAAGACAGCTTGATTATTGAGCAGCAATGAGATGATTATGTGCTATGAATGTTTTCTGACCAATTAATCTTGAACAATAATGATTCATGTTTCATTTTGGAAATAATGAATTTTTATCAAATTCTCGTTCCTTGATTTTTTTTTGTTGTTGCAAATATTATTATGTCAATTCATTTGTAGTAATAGTAATTTCTAAGAATTTATTATCGATAAAAAAATGGTCACTTTGTTTTTATTTCATTTTTATAAAATGAGAAAAAAATAGCTTTATATTTGTATCGATAATAATGAAGTAGTCATTCTGTTTCTATTCGAATTCTTTGCCAATATTTATTTATTCAATCTGTTACATCTAAGAATTTGAAATACGAAAAAAAAATTCCGAAAACAATTTCTATAGATATCTAGGTGTTTGAAAATCTAGATTCAATAAAAATCAATAGTGAGTGATGTTTGAATATGTATCTAAATTCAGATGTATTTGCGTTTGATGTAACAAGAGATTGTGAATCCTCAATTGGGAATTGTCGATGAAAATTTTTCTTTATGATTTTGTTTCACTTTTTTTTCTCATCACATGTGCATGAAGTACATTCCGGAATTGATGAGGGTTTGTTTTTTTTCGTTTTCAACATCCCAAAATGAAATAAATGTTATCTGGAACTTATAAAAAAATTGAATTGGATGCGGAAAAAAAATCTGAATTTGAACGGCAAGATTTCTTTTTTCTTTGTTCATGTTTGTCATATAATCGATTTATGACTGTTTTTTTCGAAACGTAAAGAAAAAAAAATATTCAATCTTTTGATAGAATTTATATTTGTTTTCGAATTCATCGATAACAATGAGCCATCTTTTTGATCTTGAGATTTTTATATATGTAGTTTTTTTTTATAAATCCTATAAATCCACTGGAAAAATAATCATATTTGAAAAAAACAACAAATGATTACAATGTGTGCTTACACCTTTTTTTTGGTTATTCATTTTGTACTGTCAAAAAAATGTAATTTAAGAAGATTCATTGAATTATAATAATAATAACCTATATTGCTCAAACATATCGAATATCAAATGTTTTTTTTTTCATTTTTTTATCAATCTCTTTTTCTGAATTCAATAGTTTCCATTTCATCTAAGGCCTAATAATATAACAGCACGTGTCGAACTTGAAGGTGGACCAGAAAGATCAACAATGTATATAACATCATTATATTTTACAATGACCTGTATGACAAGTGTTGGTTTTGGTAATGTTGCACCCGAAACTGATAATGAAAAAATTTTTACCATTTGTATGATGGTCATTGGAGGTATGTATTATATATTTCATATCAAATTCAATAAAAAATTTTTGATTGAAAAACGAAAATAGGACAAAACATAAAAAATTTCATTCATCATTATATTTGTCCATACTCGAATTCTATTTTTTTTCAATTTAAACACACATACAATAGGTTTCTTTTCTTACAGTATTATTTTTTATTTCAAATGTTTTTTATTTCATATAAGGGACTCAGAATTTTTGTTTGTCTTTGTTTGGGGGTAACAATATTCATTGAATGGAATGAATGTTTGAACATTTGAGCAAACACAAACATTTCCAGTCATTGAATAGACATACAAAAAAAAAATTTTAATTTCCGTTTTATTCAGTCATATATCCTTTTTTTTGAAAGATGCTACTAATTCTTAGAACTGAAAAAAAAGAAAAAATAATAATTGGAATAGAATTGATTTTTTTTTCATTTTGGAATTTTTTTTTCTTCGGAAACAAATAGCCGTTAGGAAATTTTGGTTTTTAATGTTTTCTTTTTGGTGTTTTCTTCTTTTAGCCCCCTTTTGACATTCGTTATCAATTTATTTTTTTTTGTCTGATGTTAATGTTATTTTTTCGAGTACTTCGAGAACCAAAAATAAAAATTGTAAATTTCCGGAAATTTACAATCCACAATGATGATAGTAATACTTGATTATCAACAAACGAACAATAGAAAAGTCGAACATCAGAAAAACTAATTTCATAGAAGTTGAACAAATTTTTTTTGTTTTGTTTTGATTGTGTTAATTTCATATGATTCATGATGATGATGATGATGATAAAATCTTGATTCTCAATTACATTTACTTTGTATATGAAAATATTTATGGTCATATGATAAATTTTTGCTTGATTATGACAATTTATTTTAGCCTGAAAATGATCGATAATTTATGTAAAATAATTGATTTATCTTAATAATAATTACAGTAGTATGACATATTTTGAAAATAACGCCAAATCATTAGTTACTTTAAATCATTATATAATCATTCTCTTTCCAGAATAATTCCCGGAATTTTGTTTTTTGAAACATACATTAATAATAACTTATCTTTAATGCTTATTATCTGATTATGATTAATTGCATTTAACTTATTCTCTTATTCTTTTCTTATTGTTTATGACTTTGAATTTGGCGAATAATATACGTCACTTATAGCTCTATTGTATGCAACGATTTTCGGTCATGTAACGACCATCATACAACAAATGACCAGTGCTACAGCCAAATATCATGATATGTTGAACAATGTACGAGAATTTATGAAATTACACGAGCTTCCAAAAGCATTAAGTGAACGTGTCATGGACTATGTTGTTTCAACATGGGCTATGAGTAAAGGAATTGATACGAAAAAAGTATTAAGTTATTGTCCTAAAGATATGACCGCCGATATTTGTGTCCATCTTAACCGGAAAGTGTTCAATGAACATCCGGCATTTCGATTGGCTAGCGATGGTTGTTTACGTGCTATGGCCATGTATTTTTCAATGGATCATAGTGCGCCTGGTGATTTATTATATCATGTTGGTGAATCAATTGATTCATTGTGTTTTGTTATTTCGGGATCATTGGAAGTGATTCAAGATGTAAGTATCATCATATTCTTTTAAAAACCATTTTCCATACATTTTTTTACGACATAGGACGAAGTGGTAGCCATTCTGGGTAAAGGCGATGTATTTGGTGATGCATTCTGGAAAGAGCCAACCATAGGACAGTCATGTGCCAATGTTCGAGCTTTGACATATTGCGATTTACATGCAATTAAACGTGACAAATTGATCGAAGTACTTAATTTTTATCAAGCATTTGCAAATTCATTTGCAAGAAATTTAGTGCTCACTTATAATCTTCGACATCGGGTAAGATGATAACGATGCTAATTTTCAAAGAAAAAATTTTCTCTAATTCATTTTAATATAAAAAAATAGTTAATCTTCCGAAAAGTGGCCGATATAAAACGCGAACAAGAATTAGCTGAAAAACGAAAAAATGATCCACAATTAGATTTAGCTCAAGATCATCTTGTAAGAAAAATTTTTTCTAAATTTCGAAAACCTTCCGATGGCGTGCCTTCAACTGGTATACCTAGTCGTCCTGGTTCAAGTGCCCCAAACTCAGCCGATGTTGAAAAAGGTTCGGATGGAAAACCAAAACAACCACAATCAGAACCTGAATCAAGAGTTGCTTCGGCATTCAAAGGATCAAAATGGGCTGCCGCATTGGGTCGTGATTCTAGCAATGTTAGTCGTGATGCTGAAAAGAAAGCACATGAAGTGGAAAATGCATTGTTTGATCGTGATGATCATAATTTGAATCTATCAAGAAAAACAGAATTAGTTTGTAAGAAATCTGAACATATACAAGTAGTTAAAGATATACGACCACCAACACAGGGTAATAAATGGCCAAGAGTTGCGACAGGAGGTAGTGTTAGACACGAAACAATTGAAGAAACGGCTGAAGATGAACAAAAAACCAAAACTGGTGGTAATGAGACCGCCGATTCCAATAAAATATTGGTTCAACCAAAAAGTATAAATAGTGTTGATTATCAACAAATTGTTGCCACATTAGTTGATATGCGTATTGATCTGAAATTAGAAATGCAAAAACTTACTAACAAAATTGGAAAGATTGATGAACACATATCGAATATAACTAAAAAATTATCCACATTGAATATTGATGTCGATGATCATCAACATTCACCGTCGACAGATGTAACAGCCGCCTCTTCCATATTTTCTGCTCAAGCTGCAAAAAATTCAATCAAACCGTTTTCTACAATGGGTCAGCAAAGTACAATCGAAGAGGTCGATGAAGAAGCTGTGACAACGCCAACATCTAAACGGATCGATTCGACTGCCAGTAAAACTGGAACAACAATCGCTAAAGATCATAAAGGATTGGCCGCAACAACTATCAGTGGTCAACAACAACAACAACAACGATCATCTGCACATCATCGTAGTAAAGTTAGTCTGGTAACGGCTGGTGTAAAGAAACATGGTAAATCTAAATCTCATCATCAACCGACATCAGGAGATATTGTTACTGGAGATGATGATGATCAACAACATCAATCTAAGAAACAATTGCCCGATGATGACATGCGTGCTATATTGGAAAAGGAAATTGCACAACAAGATTTAGATAATACTGATGAAGATCAAGATATGACCAGTAAATTATAGCTACAAATTTTATATGTCTACCAATTTAACAAAGAAAAAAAAATATGTTCGCCTTTTCTAAATATAATTATCGATAAAGTCAATCTCAACAGCCATCATCATCAGCATTATCGATCGATTTTCATTATTGATCTTTATTTATATAAAATATACAACAATACAATCTGAATAAATACAGACATTCTTTCGTTCAAAAATTTTTACACGATTTTAATAATAATCAAATTTACTCATCATCATCATCATCATCATCATCATCACAAATTGAATTCAACATTTATACAATTTGAACATATGCCTATTATTCTTATATATCACATCACTCACACGATAAGAATTCCAAATCGACATTCGAAACAAAATTGGAAAATATAAATTTTTTTTTTGTGAGTCATGTTCAGTATTCAAGCATTTATAATATAATATTTTATCATTCAATTCTTCTTTTTTTGAAGCTAAAAGCCGTTAAATTCATTCATCTATGACCACTCCCTCTACATAATTAATATCAACCCAAAAATGTGTATCTGGTCCAAAACCGAATTTTTATCCCATTATAAATGAATTGTATTTTTTTTTCTTTGTTCTACCCACACACATACACACACAAATACATGTTCTCTCAGATCCGTCTTTCACACAAACACATCAAAATCATAAGCTTCAAACATTGTTAATAATTTCATTTTCTATTTCAAAAAATAAAAAATAAAACGAAAAAAACAAAACAAAATCCTAGTTCTAGTCATATCAATATACATACCCATTCTTATTCTTTGATCTCTCTTTTATTCAATTGTTATTTGTGATCCACAATTCATGTTTCTTTATATTGTTTTTTTTTCTCATTCTTTCTCAAATGATGTATTGTATTGAAATGTTCGATTGTTTTTTTTGTAATCAAATAAAAAAACCAGATACTTTTACCAAAAATAAAATATTGATGAAACGAAGATTAAGTTATGAAGTATTGAAACAAAGATTTATAGGATTTTCAAATATGATCAAATAATATTAATCAAAAATTGATAAATCGATTAAAATCACTTTTTATTGATTAATTTTTGTATAAAAAATGAATAAAAATATCAAAAACATAATTTAAACAGCATCTCCTTTCGGATGAACAAATCCTTTTTCAATAATTAAGGATTTTGTAAGATCAACATTATTAACATTAATAGAACTGTCGGAAATTTGGCCAACAGTAGTAATTGCTTTGTTTGACACGGATGTAACAGCAACACTAGGTTCATTTTGATTCAAAGATGATGTAGGCGTCGACGGTGTTTGATTGATAGAATTTTGAAGCAAACATAATACATTTTTCGGTGTGACTAGATTGGCTGAAGTATTATGCGTGGCCTCCTCATCATTACGGTTGATACCTCGTTTTTTCAAATATTGACTATAATTCGAAATTTGAACAATTTGTGACTGTGAGGATACGATTAATGAGCCTTTGGCATTTGTAGAATCTTCGATACCTTTTGATAAAATAGAAAAAATGAATAAATAAATAGTTCAAATTAAGCCCAAAATTACCTCGATCACTAGATTCACTTTTAGTCAGGCGAACCGAAGCAAAATTCATTTCGGTAGCATTACCACTACTGCCAGTACATACTTCATTGCAACGATTACTGATTCTATGCAAAAAAAATGATAAAAATAAGTGTAAGATTTAATCCAAAAATAAAATTATTACTTATTGAAGAATCCAACGATAGCTCGTTTAAACATCAAGAAACTAAGTGAAGGTCCGATTATTTGATTAAGTGAATTAGATGTTTCCGCGAAAGAAGTTGTTAATGGCGAAACATAGATGGGATAGCCAATCGGTTGATCACAGGATGAATTAATTATATTACGCAAAACTTGTTTGGCATTCTGTATCGAACCTCGTTCAGGATTCCGATTTCTATATGGAAATGTTATATGAATTTAGAATAAATAAGCATAAATAATGACGAATCAAATTTCATACCGTAAAAAGATAAGCTCTTGTTGTTGTCCGGCCCAAAGACCTCTGACACATTCACGATTTATCTAGATTAAAACGATAAATTAATATCAATATAAAAAAATAGAGTTTTGCAGCTTACTTTGATTATACGAAAATTCAAGTATCTTTTGTTGAGCATGATCACCTTATATTGATCGGTTCCTTCATCAAAAACATGACGTAGAGCCAATAATGATGGAACATTCGATAATATTGCTTTGCGCCAGATAGGGTCTGCTTCATGTGAAATAACCATTGATTTCTGATATTGTGTGATAGCATCAAATAATGTTTTCGGATCTTCATAGATGTATTCTTCGTAGAATTGATCTTGATGAAGCTTTAAAGACATACGGACACTTGGCGAAACAACTTTGTCGAGAAAATCAATATCCTGAAATACCCATTCATCACGTGAACAATGAATACGAAAATCTCCTTTGAACAAAGCATGAAAACCATAAAGAAAAAACTCTACATTCATCAAGGCTGAATTATGATGTGATGCTGTTCCGAGTGCTCGTCGACCAAGTAAGCTTAAAGCCAGACATAAAGATAAAGCCGATTCTTCATCATTACGAACAATTTCTGATTGAGCAGGATGGACACCGTTTTTTATACAGTAATCAATCCAAACAAAATATGTGGAATAAAAACTAGAACGTGTTATACCAGAGGCCATAATATCATAATCTTCATCAATATTGTAATTGAATGTAGGATCAAGATCAACAAAATCTTTTTCATTCAAATAGCTGAGCGATTGTTTAATGTCATCATTTTCGATCCATTTGACAAAGTTTTCGTTTGTGATCACAAAATAGATGATCGATTTAACATAATAAGTGATCAGTGCTTTACGAAGATCATATGGTTGAACAATTGTTGATGCAATATGTTCCGATATGGAATAGCCTTCAAGAACATAGTTTGTATGAGTCACTTCCCATGATAGCCAACGCTGATTGAAAGCTGCATTAATCGATAAAACGCCATTGACACGAAATGAATCACAACAACAGCAGCCATCATCATCACTGACATTTTCCGTAATTGCTTCAACTTCACGTTGTTGACAATATGTACCACGAAATTCTAAGCCCCGAACTTGGAACGTAACAAATCCATTGCCTAATTCAATAATATGAACTAAACAATTAAGATTATCACTTGCTAAGACAAAACAATCGCCTTGCGATACATCGCCCCAACGGCCTAATATTAGATCACCATATAATGAATGTTGTAATGAACGGGTTAAATGTTCGTAGAAAATTGAATTCAAATTATTATCATCTGAACCAATCTGAGCTTTGTCGATCTGTGATGCAAGTCTGGTATTCGAATGATCGACACGTTTAGTGCTGAAAAATAAAAATATATTAAATCGGAAAAATACAAATTATTCATACTAACTTGTAATCCCGTTCCCAAAATTTTATCGGTCTTACGTATGATGTGAAAAATATTGCACTGCCAAGAATCGGTTGAAGAGGTGCAGAAAGCAATGATGAAACAAATATTTGAACCATTAATAGAGCAGAATCTAGAAAACAATATTATGGATTAATTTGAATGTGAACATGAATATTTCAATGACATACGAGGAACGCTAAATGGCTGTGCAAAAGCATGGAATGCCGAACCCCAGGTAATCTGCCATGGAGCAACATAAGTTATGACAAAACGAAATTTGAGCAGAAAATCGGTTATCTATAGATGAGGAAATGATTCGTTAGATGTTATGACTGATGAACAAACAGATCAATTTGATTTTGTTAAATACCTTGTAGTAGACAAATGACATGATAAAAAAATTCATAAGGAATATATTGTCATGACTGTCGATAAATATCCGAAAATCGTAATAAAAAAACAAATGAGTAAATATGACGATAATATAGTTGTGTGATGGATCATTAAATGAACTTCGCAAACATTTGAATCCGAAAATGACCAATAACAACATGCCAACATTGTTACCATAGTTTTTGATTAGTAATGGACAGTCGGTGGTAATGTACGATAAAAATAGCAACGGATATAGAATGTTCTTCTCTACTAACCAAAGCCAAGCTTCTAGCTTTTCGAACCACATATTTTTGGCCGGTTCTCTGACTTCAAATTTTTTATATTCAGCTGATTTACATATCGGACTTGAAAACAATAACCACGGTAATTGTTTACGAAATTGTGGTATAAGATAATGAACTATAAAACTCCAATATACAGCTAAACCGGTTATGTAATCATTGAAATATGGTTGCAATTTAAATATTGAACTAACATGAACGCTAAAAACGCTAATCATGACAAATATACAGGTGATAAAATCAGATTCAAAGCGCGAACATGCAATTTTTTTCAATTTTTCAGGCAATGGATCAATCAATACTTCAGTCGATTTTTTCCTCGTCATCGAGATAGTCATAGGTTTTTCTGCATCGGCACGATTTGTGTCAATAGATTTTGTTTTAGATTTTGAATTGGTTATTAAACTTGTGAAGAAATTTTTGATGGTCATGAGAAACTCATAGATTACATTCCAAAATAATGATGGATCACTTGGAGAACGACTGAGCAGATAGCTGATGGCAGCTAGTATTCCACAGAATACCGAAAAAGTTGTACGCTGTGTTTCTTTTATATTCAATAGATGAGCACATAAATAAAGAAAGGTGATGGCCAGAATACTTCGAGAAATTGAATAAATAGCCGATATCATACCCATAGTGGATGCGGTACCACCAAATAAATGTATATCAATATGTTCGAATATATACATCACAAACGTATTGAATTGAGGTAACAGGCCAAACATGAATAACAGAGGAAATATCAAAATAAATGTTTGTGCAATATTGCTGATGGTCAAGAATAAATCACGGTTAATTAGATTGAAACCATAGATTTCAAAATAAATATTATCCATTCGTGGTGAATAATTATTGTAACAATCGTTTGATAGGAGAATAATTGCGCTGACCAAACAGAAATAGATTGGACGACTATAGATTGCTATCCTATTGAAACCATGTGTTGGTGATGCAGCATCCGGCTGAACACTCTATAAAACAAAACAAAAATCATTCATAGTAAACCTGTTATCTGAATTACTCACAAACCTTTAATAATGTATAATGAGAGCCAGCAACGACAAAACAGAAAACAAACAAACGAATATCATGAAAAAATTCTTTTTGCAACAGAATAGATGTAAAAGATGCGACTGCAATGGACAACAATATTGAACATATTAATTCACATGTGGTAATATTACGATCCAAAAAAGCCAACAAAGCTAATCGATCGAATCGAATTTTCACTGTTTTCATTTTCAATATGTTCACTTCATAATAATGGGCAGATTTCAATTTTTGTTGCGATTGTTGAAACGAATGAGGGAACGATTGATTATTCAATGAGCTTATGAAATCAGAAGCGATCGATAGTGCGAATTCCCTCGATACATCAGGGGGTGGATCAAACACTTCAAAAAAAAAAATGAATTTCGATTTAAAATTTTATGAAAAAAATTAACAATACTTACTTGACATTGGATCAAATGAATGATTATTATTGAATAAAAACAGGCCGTCCAATTTGTTCATATCACGAATTGTTGTAACCGAATCAATATTATTGTTATTATTATTCGAACTTACACCAAGATCTAAAAGAGGATTGTTGAGATAGAAAATTGAAGTAGAAGGTATCAATGCATTACTAGATTTGAATTTATCATTCGAATTGTCCATTATTGGCATTGGCATTGATGTATTTGCTTGGGTTGTTGCGGATGTAGCTGATGAAGTCAGTTTAGTGAACGGATTAGGAGGACATAATCCTTTGGCTAATCCTGTACTATTTTCATCGAATGTATAAGTAAACCAATTTCCGTGTTCATCTTGAAATACGTGTACAGCACCAACGGTCGTATCTTCATGTGAAGTGGCCAAATGAGTACCAGGAGTTGTAAAAATTTCGTTGATTATATTGGGTGAATTTTTCAATGATTCGCCATCACGTAACGAATTCGAACGAGAATAAGTCTTTGTATCTGGATCATTCAAGCGAGATCCTTGTTCACAAAACTCATTGAAAGCTTTCATCGATATCGAATTATTATTATCACATGGATTGGTAGGCCATAATTGACCTCGTGAATTTCTAGCTTTATTTTGAAAATTTGATGATAAATCTTCATTGACACTACCTTCCTTTGTGAGCTGATATTTTTGTGTTTTTGATGAAGATGGGTATTTGTTTCGAAATCTTTTCCGCTCCACAATTCGATGTGAGATGCCTGATGACGTAGATGGATAATTTATAGGGTAGACAACATTGGATGGATTAAAGTTTTCATGTTTGACACCATCACCACTAGTCATTGATAAGGGTGAACTAGATGATGATGATGGAAGTGATGATGAATCTGAATGACGATGATATAATTGAAAACGATTTGATAATGGCCGAATGGTGCCACCAGCAGTTTTTGCCTCATTATCTTCTTCATCCGAAGTGTTAAGCAAAACCATACTAGGTTTTATGCGATATCGCTGATCTACTTCATGATATATGTTTTTATGGGTCCATTCAGAGCGGCCACTAGTAGAAGATGATTTTGAACGTTTGCGGCCACTGTTTGATGAAGAAAATCTAGTCTTACGCATAGGTTGTTTGGACATTTTTTTGATTGCTAAAGCTGTCAGGGTTGATGACTTAGCTTTAACTGAATCATTCGTACACAATGATATTTCACTTTCATCACCATCTTCGCTTGAATCACAATCTTTTTTGATATAGGCACTATTACAGGTGGTGGATACTTGTTTTTCATTTTGGTTCTCTTCGATACAACTCATTTTATTTATTATGCCTGTTTCTTCTGATTGAAACAATTTCGACTTTGGATATTTCGAATTCCTAACCATTTCCGAATTACCATTCCCTTCTTTAGCGTTAAATTTACTTTTATCTAACGGAACGGACTTATCTATATTGTCAGTCTTAGAATTAATTATTTCCATACTAACGGGGTGTGATGGAGGAATGGCTGATGTTCGTGAATGTTCTGATCGTTTAATCGTTTCGATTTCACTTCGTGCTCGTCGAAAAGTATGCATCTGTTGCTGCTCACATTTGTTAAGATTTTCCAATACACCGACCGAATTATTGGATGAATTGCCTTTGGTATATATGGCTGCTATGTTAGATAAAGAAGTGTCGGATTTAACGACTGATGTTAGTTTTATTGCTTCATCCGATATTTTTCGAGGTAATTCTTTTTGTTCATTTGAATCAACGTAAGGCTCATCTTCACTTCTAAACAATAATGATAGATTACCAAAAGATGAATCCGATTCGTTATGATGAACATCGGCTTTTAGATCGATTGTTTTTGATGTAATTTCATTGGAACAATTATCATCAGTAGCTTCGATTCGTTTCTTTATCGAATCCATTTCGTTCATTATTTTATTGATACTAATATTTTCTTCTTTCCTCGACGGTTGATCATTGTTTGTTGTTGAATTATTCGAAATAGTAACCATTTCTAGAGCTTCTTTGTCTCCATTCACCGATTCACCATCACCATTGTCAATCAAATAATTCGTGACGGGATCTTGACAAGATGATGTTGCTTCATCTTTAATACATTTACCGGTATCAAAAACTCGATGAAAATATTCGTTAATAGATTTGATAACAATAAATATTAATGCAATGAACAAACAATATAACATCCATGATATCCATGTGTTGAAGAAAACATAATTGACGAATGGAAAGCACAAGAATATTAGCCATATGTAAAGATGGAATAGATTTGAAAAATGAGATTGTTTTTTATCATAATACCAGCCACCGGTTAATGATGCCCAAACACCTTCGGTCAGTACAGATGCGGCTTGTAAGCCCATCATATCAATTCAATCATTCAAAGCGAATTATTTGCTTTAGAAAAAAAAGTTTACAAAATATAATAATGCAAAATGAGTTTTAATTAACGAAACAAACCTGTAGATAATTGTGAATTAGAAATTCGTTTCGGACATAATGCACTTGTAGCTTCAACTTATATCACAGATAAAATCCGTTGAAATAAAATTGTTGACGGACAAAAAAAAAAGAATGTATTTTTTTTATCTATGTGTATTAATTAAATGTTGATTTGACGACGGTTGACAATAACAACAACAACGAAACCAAACAGAAAAATCAAAATACAAGAAAACTTTCCTGGATTCTTGATGAGAGCTCGGATTCTAGAATCTTTCCTTGAATACTGTTCACATGGCACATGTTTGCACATTCGAGCACACTGTCTTTCCGTTAACGGCCAGGTCATTTGAGTTCTCGTCATCGTTTAGGTAAGATCGAAATTTTAATTAATTGTTCATCGGAAAATTTTTGATGATGATACCTTGGAGACATGAGTAACTATTATGATTACAAAACTTCCTTGGATGTCTGAAACTTAAAATTATCCTTGATATATAACTAAATCTTTTTCCAATCATTTTTTGGTTATGATTTTTAAAGTTTTCATTTTTTTCTTGTTTCAGTAGATTTTAAACCAGATTAATGTTCAAAATCCCTTACTCTGACTTGATGAACGATAATTGGTATGTTTAACTTGATGATTTTTTCATTAAACATATTTTAGATGATGATTTACATTTCTCCAATTGATCCTAATGAATTTTATAAAAAATAATGAAATTAAACATTTATAATTACTGATCATGATGATCATTTAAACACTTTATTGAAAATTCTTGAGCTTAATTTTTGTTTTTGTTTTTTTTGTTTGAATACAGATTACTTAAATGGTCATTTATAACGTTTTATTAAAATTTTCTATAAAAAATTGTTTTAATGAATTGTATGATTATTATTATTACAAATAAATAAAATATCAAATTATCCATTTCAAATTTTATCGCCCACTTTTTATTATTATTATTATTAAATGACCAATTTTGATTAATTCAATGTCAAAATGATTCAATTTTTAATCGATTAATTACTTTAACTAGAATGATTTTTTATCAACATTAAATATAGTAGTATTACCATTTATAATATCCACGTCCCACAATTCCAAAATACTATTGTATTCGAATCTTTTGCTATATTTTGAGATTTTCCTATAATTTTTATGATCGATCCTGTTTTGGAAATTTTTTCCATCATCATCATCATTGTTTGTTAACATAATAAATTAGTCATTGGTGTTGTTGGAATGATGACATTCATATTTATTTCACTACCATTTCTGAATATTTGTTTTGTTTTGTTCATTTCATATGAATTACTCAATGTTACATGGATCAAATTCAAATGAATAAAATAAAATTTTTCTATTTGTCATTCATGTTACAATCAGTTAACGAGCAAACAAGTAAAAAAACAATGTTTTTTTTCTTGAACATTTGAATACCAAAAAAAGCTGGATCCTTACCATTTTTTTTCATTTTCGATGACCATTTGTGGTCGCCAAAAAAATTTCTCGATGATATGGAAAAGACAAAAAAAAACAACAGAAACCATCTTTATAGTTTGTTTACTCATTTTTACTCATTATCATGTGATGATGATGGTTTACAACATCCTACACTATTTTCCAGATCATTTTTTACCGCAAAAATAATAATGAACGACAATGATCGTATAATTTGCCTTGATTTTGGATGTTGTATTCATTCATCTGAACGTGCATCGTACATTTTAAATAAAAAAAAGAGAGAGAGAGAAAGAAAAAAAGTCATTATAGACAATCGTTTCAGGAGCAAAAGAATAAACTTAGCAATGCAACATTGGCCTGTATAGTTCAAACGATTCGTTAATAGACTAAGCATTCAACAGCAGCAGGTGCTTAGCTTGATGATCTTTTTTCAATGAATTTACGTGTTTGTGTTTAACAAATGTATGATTTACTTGACCGATTGACTGTAATGAATGGTCGGACTTTTTTTTTGTGAAAAAGAATTCACGGTGGCAAAACGAATAGTATTCAATTTAATGATGATCATCTTGATTTGACCGACATTTTAATTAAAATTTTGTTTAATAAAACTTAATGAAAAAAATAATCGAATGGGAAATTGTCCGCTTACATTTTGTCCGCCATCGGATATTCGCGGTGATGGTCATCATCGATTTCGTCCATTTAAACCATCGCCAGATGATTGGGCCAGTACGGGTCGTTATGCTGCTGAAACGCCAAGTAATTCATCTTATTACTTGATTTGTGTATTATAAATAATCTTTTTTTGTTTTATTGTTTGAAAGATGTTGGTGATCTAGTCGTTCATAGTGTCAATTTTCTTGTTGATAAAAATTCTCGTCTTCATAAAACGGATAAATATTTTCTCAGCAATCGTTCAATCAGTCCGAAATTAATTGTTCGTCGTGGTCAACCATTTGAATTACGAATCACATTTGAACGTCGATTTCGTTATAGTGAAGATGTTGTCAGTTTCGTTTTCCTAGTTAAAGGTAAGTCTAATTCATTTATGAAAAATTTAGAATATTTTTACATTTCTTAATTCAACCAGATGAAATTAATCCAACTTATAGCAATAAAACAGAAATTATAGTTCCGATTCTTGACGAACGAAATGCACGTAGACTTTCGATAGTTTCTGAAAGTAGATGGAGCGCTCGTATCGTTTCGGTCGAAAATCGAATAATGGTTGTCGAAATAAATTGTTCGGCTGATGCTATCATTGGTGAATATCGAATGGTTATCGATACTAGATCTCCTAATCGTATTGATGATTCATATTTTTCTAATCCAATTTCCGAATCATTTTATATTTTATTCAATCCCTGGAGTCGAAGTATGTTTTTTTTTAAAAATTGTTTTATAGCTTTGTATAAATCTATATCTGATTTATTTCAATTCTAAGATGATAGTGTTTATATGAAGGATAAATTCTGGAGAGAAGAATATATACTTAATGATCAGGGAATCATTTGGAGAGGTACACACGATCAAATGAAACCAACACATTGGAACTTTGCTCAGTTTGAAGAAAATATCCTTGAAGCTTGCCTTTATGCTTTGGGTAATATTGGCAAATTAAAACCGGCTGATCGGTAAATTACTATTTTTTATTAAAATTTCATACTAATTCTTATATCATGCAAATCAGCAATGATCCTATTAAAGTATGTCGCCATATTGGTGCCATTGTTAATAGTGTTGATGATAAAGGTATCGTCGTTGGTAATTGGGATGAAAAATTTGCTGGTGGAACACCACCAACCGATTGGCATGGTAGTGATGCTATACTTCAAAAATATTATCGCACAAAAAAATCGGTCAAATATGGTCAATGTTGGGTGTTTTCCGGTGTTACATGTACAAGTAAGTTATCTTTATTCGTATAAATTTTTCTATTTTTTAACATTTAAATTGTAATTAATTAATAGTTTGCCGTTGTATTGGAATACCATGTCGTGTAGTTACAAATTATATGTCAGCACATGATACTAATACTAGCCTTACTGTTGATCGTTTTTTTGATGAAAATGGTGATCCAATTGAAAAATTGAATAAAGATTCTATCTGGAATTTTCATTCATGGGATGAAGTTTGGATGACCAGACCAGATCTCTCTGCTTCGGGCGCATATGATGGTTGGAATCTAATCGGTATACACAAAATGAAAATCTTTTTCAATTTCAATTTTCATAATCTTTTTTACTTTTCTCGACTTCAGATGCAACACCACAAGAACCATCGGATAATTTATATCGTGTTGGACCAACTAGTGTCGAAGCAATCAAATATGGAGAAGTGAATAAAGCTTATGATGGATTCTTTGTCTATGCCGAAGTAAATGCTGATGAAGTTTATTGGCTTTACAGAGATGATAAAAAACCATTGAAACTAATAACACAGCTCACTGAAAGGTAAAGATGAGTTTTGATTGTCTGAATCGAAATTAATGCATTTATTTTCATTTCAAAGTATTGGCGTGAAGATTGTCACAAAATCATTGCATAAAAATCAAACAATAGATATTACAGAGAATTATAAGCATAAAGAAAGTTCAAAAGCTGAACGTGAAAGCATGATAAAAGCACTAAAAATGACTAAAAGTAATTTCAGTCGTTATTATCTAAATGAAAAATTTGAAGATGTTCGATTTGAATTGGTTCCACTCGAAAATAGAATGATTGGTGATTCATTCAAGGTTTGTTTGTTTTATTTTATGATGAAAGCGGTCTGATTTGAATTTGCCCACTTTTTCAGGTACAATTGTTAATGACAAACAAAAGCTACAAAGTTTATACCATTGAGGCGACAATTGCTGTTCGTTCAACAACATACAATGGTGTTTCAACGGCCGTCGTTCGACATGATACAGTCGTCAAAACACTTGGTCCAAGAAAATGTATACAATATTCAAATTTATATTAGATTTACGGCTGATAAAACTTTTTTATTATTACAAATAGCTCACATTGTAACAACTAATGTTACATATTTTGATTATGAACGACATTTAACATCACAATCAATATTTAGCATTTCGATAATGGCCAACGTTTTGGAAACGGATTTCCATGTTTGTTTATTTTTGTTTCGAAATTAATGTTTGAGATTTGACTTTTCTTCTTATTTTATTCAATTAATTTAGTTTTACATAATGGAAGATTTTCGTCTACGTTTGCCCGACATTCAAATTGAAATCGAAGGTGATGCTATTGTCAATAGGCCATCAGTATGTCAATTATCTTTCCAAAATCCATTACCCAAACCATTGACTCATGGTGTGTTCACTGTTGAAGGACCTGATTTTTCCACAAGAAATCAGGTTAAATTGAAAAAGTGAGTTTTTTCAATTTGTCTGTTCAATAATTTTTTAAAAAATATTTTTTTTTCAAATAACTCAGAGATGTTCTTCCAAAAGAACAAGCCGCATCATTTATAGTTGTTACACCGAAAACATCCGGCGATAAACGTATAACAGCAAAATTTAAATCACGCGAATTGAAAGATGTTGATGGATATGTCAATGTACGCGTATTTGACGATTATGATGATAATAATAATAATGAATTAGAAACACGTTTTCATTCATCTGCATATGATAATAATAATAACAACATTATATCCAATGATAATCATAATGATTCGAATTGGAATCGTAATTCTATTTACCATTAATTCAATTCCGTGATTATATTTTGTTAATAATTAATAAACAAAAGAAAATTGCTATTATAAAATATACAAAATGATTGATTGCTTGATATGACGATTTCCGGATTATAATATTTATAATTTACAATATATGTTAAATGCTATCAATCAATGCTTTAGCAGCGATCATATTTTGTGAACAAATCAATGGCAAATGCATGGTCCATAATAATGATGATGATAATTTGCCTAAATGTATACGATTACAAAAATCAATGCTTGTCAATGGTGATATTAACAGATATAATTGACCGGCAAAAAAACCTAATGGATATCCGATAAATATGAGTACTGCAAGCCAAAAAAATGTCCAAACACATTGTGTTAATGGTGAATCAGAATTTTGTAATCCAATATTATTACGTTGATGACTACTGGAAGCAGCGGCAATACTACAACTATACGGTGTTGGTATATGACATACGAATGGTGTATTACGTCGATTTGTTTCATTCAAATTTATTGATGATGATATGTTGGAGAAATCTCTATAATGAAAAAAAATTAAATAAAAAATTTAAATTAGACATGATTGTCTTTGTTGTTATTATTATTTTTTTAGTAATCACAATAATTTCAAACATTCTTTACACAATGGGTGAAAAATTATCGCAGCAATTGTTGCCAAGTATTTTATGCTTATCTCAACGAATATTCTTTCTCTTAATGCGAAAGAGGCCCCGACCAATGTAGCATTGGAAAATGAAAAAATTTTTTTGCTAAACAAAAAAGAATGCTTTATTTGACAAATTGTTCTTCCATGATCTCTTTTTTTTCTATTTGCTTTTATTTCTGATTCTTGCAATAAGTGAGACGTAAATTTAAAGAAGGAAAATATGAGAATGACTGGTGATGGTAAATGATGAAAATTTATTTGATACATCATTAACTTTTCATTGTAATAAATTAAACTCTGCAATGAATGAATGATGATAATGTGTTTTCATGACAATCTTTATCGAGTTTTAAATTATTGTTTTGAAGTTATTTTCATTAAATAAATCAAAAAAAATTGCACCTTGTATCAACGATGGCTGGTACAAGTTTGAGCATTTCGATAAATGTTCTATGGTGTGGTGTTGTTGTTCACTTGAAGGTTTTTTTTTCATTTAGAAATTACGCTGATATTGAACGATCATCGACATTCGTTGATGATGATAATGATGCAATTTGATTATCGTTGTTGCCGTTGTCGTTTTGTTCACTGTTGAATACGGGTGAATCGATATGATCTAATGAAACTTTTTTGTTAAATATTTTACCCATACAGATTTTTGGTAATTGAACAAAATCATAGAATAAAAAATTCATCAATGATGGAAATAGATTACACGATTGAAATGGTTGTATAAGTACATAAATGATTGTCATCAATGAACTTATGGGTAAGACAATCACAAACAATATGATTAGATAACCGAAACTATACAGACATCTTGTTAATGTTGACCACATTTTTGTGGATCGATGATCAACATGAACAATCTGATAAGAATTTAATCAGCGATAAAAGTGCAATCATATCATTAATGATGATGATGATCGATTTATTCCACACTGAATACAATTTTTCTCAGTTTTTCTGTTCTTTTTGTGTTAAGTGCAAAAAACAAAATGGAAAAATGCCTGAATGATAAAAGATGATAATGAAAAAAAAGAATTAAATGGAATCTTGACACAAAACGTAGATTTGATGACGATGATCTAGCATTACGTTGATTGATAACGGTTTAGGTGTTTGCTGAAATGATGAACATTCACCAACCATGTGATATGAATCTCTTATTTTTTTTTTGTCTACAGAATCTTACTCATAAAATTTGCATATATTCTCTGTTTTTTTTCTCGGATGAAAATATAGCTGTCAGCAGCCAAACATAAAACACAAATATAAACACCAAATGAGAGAGAATCCCTAAATTCAAAAATCGAATAAATATTTAACTGAACTTCTGTATTCACCGTTATCATCATCATCATCATCATCATCTTAATAGTCATCAACAAAAACAATAATAACAATTCTGTTTCTTAACTTTTTTCGTTACTATCATCATTCTCTTCAAAATCAATTTTCAAGAAGCAAAAAAAAAAAAAAAAAGACAAACAAATGAATGGGTGTGTGTATAAGACGAATAACTTTTGACAGATAGATTTTCTTTTTCTTTTTCCTTTTAAATTCTTTATTTTGTTCATTCATCATGATGATCATCATCATCACAACAATTGTTTTACAATAATAATAAGTATTTACAAACCAGAAAAAAAGCAATCAAATATCTAAGCTTAATTTTTATTTGAATTGTATTCATTTGTGTGAATATTTAAATTTATCTGATATAGAAAGTAGTGAAAAAAAAATGATAATGAATAAGAAAATAGATTTTGTTTCCTCTTGAAATGATGATTTCATCATCATTCTCCAAATAAATATAAAAAAAATCTAACAGGCAGTTTTTTTTTCTCATTACAATCATTGAATTTGTTTGTTTGTTTGGCAAAATAGATTTTCTTTTTCTTTTCTTTTTTAAGAAAACAACGAATGAATGAATGAATGAATGGATGGATGAATGTTGTTGCCAACAATAAAATTGGCAAAAAATGAATGAATTTACTGAACAACCGTTATTTGTTTGTAATAGAAAATCCGATTATAAACTGTATATGACAGTATAGTAGGTTTTTAATATAGCTTTAAGAAAAAAATATATATTGCCATTCGATTTGGCAAAATAAAAGAATATAAATGATAATAAAAGATAGATTTCGTTCGCTTTCTTCATTTTAAGGCTCCTTTTAATGGAAAGATTCAAACTTTTTTTTCTGTTGTTGTTGTTAGAATATTCGATTACACATTTGATGCTTACAGCAATGAATGAACAACGTTAGTGATTACAATATACAACAGACAATGAAATATGATCAAAATGATGGATATTTTTTCAATGGTTCTATTCTATCTTGCACAATAATGGTAATAATAATGAGAATGTGAATGACGATGGTATGGCGACAAACAAATTATTTGTTTTGAAGAATATATTCTATATGGAAGAAAAAAAACCTATCAATCTTTTTTTTCATTTGTATACAGTATTTAAATAATGACTTCGAAAGGATTCATTTTGGAATATTCTAAGCCCGAAATTTTAACCAGATTTTGCTACCCTTATTTTTTAAGCTAATAATTAACAATCAAAATGGGATACCCAAAAAATTCATAATATGATCATTACGATCAATTGATGTTTATAATTAGTATATTATGAACAATAATTATAAATATTTAGGATTTATTTACCGAATATAATTACTGAGAATTAAAAAAAAATGAGAAACTAATCCAAGGAAAAAAATCTCTGTATAATGATATCACAATTATGTAAATAATCATGATTGAAATGATTTTTTTGTTTGTCGGATAATGATGTTCATGAATGAAATTTTCTTCTACTTCTTATTTCCTCATCTTTTTAATGTAATTCGAAACCAAACCTAATTAAAATGATGACCAATTTACTTGAAAGCTGTGGAGCGCAACAACAACAAAAAACAACCGAAATTGAAATGTATAAGCAGATTATCGAACTGAAATCGATTCCAAACGCCAAAAACTTTTATTGATTTTAACCAAACACACACACACAAAAAAAAGGATTTTAGTGACGAAATAAGTAGAAGGCCTTGGGCATTACACATTGTTTAGTTATTGGATTGGATAAATAAAATGTCATTATCAATTGCATTTGCAAAAAAAAAGAAAAAAAAATTGGAAGTTAATCTCTATAGAGATATCACGTATTTATAATCAATGATTTCAGGTTAAGAAATATGGCCATAATTAACGATTTAGATTTAGTCTGAATAAATTGAATAAAATAAAAAAAAGTGATCATGGCCAGCCTTTAACATATCGCAGCGAATCGAATCAAATCAACTTGATCATTCGATCGATCGTTCTCAGTGGAAACCGAAATAATGATCAAAAAAAAAGACAGTTGGACTTTGAATCAATGTCTTAAAACGATGAAAATAAGTTCATTTGATAATATTGAAAAAAATGCATAATTTAGAAAATGTTTGATTATGAAAGCTATTTGCTATCGTAAGAAATAAGAAAAATTTCACAAACAAACAGACTGACAAACAAACAAACAAACAAAATTCATTTTCAATTTGTTTATTGAACAAACAACAACAACAACAACAACTAAAAATGATGGATCAATATCAATCAATTATTCCTGAGGCTAAATTGATCGATGTTCAATCATGGTTAAAAGAAAATGAATCAAATTTTCAACCACCAATTTGTAATAAAATGATGTAAGTTTTTCATTCAAAATTTAAAGAATTTTTTCTAACTATCATTTTAATTTCAGGCATAATGATCAATTGAAAATATTTTTTGTCGGTGGACCAAATGAAAGAAATGACTATCATATTGAACTTGGTGAAGAAGTAAGTGTGTGTGTGTTTATCTTCTGGTATTTATTTATTTATTTGTTTTTTTTTATCTTTTAAAATTGATCAATATTCAATAATTGAATGTTTATATGTTTAATGGTTGTAGTTTTTTTATCAATTAAAAGGTGATATGTGTTTAAAAGTGATTGAATGTGGTCGACAAAAATCGATTCATATTCGACAAGGAGAAGCATTTCTATTGCCGGCCCGAATACCACATTCACCACAACGAAAAGCCAATACAATCGGTATGGTGCCAAAAAAAAGATAAGAACTGAAATCAATAGTTTTTTTTCTAGTTCTGTTCCTCGATCATCACAATCGAGCACAATAGTTTTATATTACTAAATGATTTAGCAATTTTTTCTTTTTCTTTTTTTGTCCATTCATTCTAAATATCCAAAAAGGAATGGTTATCGAACGAAAACGAGAAAAAAATGAACTAGATGGACTACGTTATTATGTTGATGATTATTGTAAAACCATTCTTTATGAACGTTGGTTTCATTGCAATGATTTGGGCACACAATTAGTGCCGATCATTAAGACATTTCATGATTCTAACGAATATAAAACGGGAAAACCATCGGAAAGTAAATTCTTTTTCTAAATAAATTGGATCCCAAACCGAATTTTTCTTGGTCTTATCATTGTTATTATTTCGATTTTTTTTTCTTTTTAGATACCGAACTAACTTTTTTTTGTTGTTACTATTGTTTTGTTGTACGTCTTTAATAACCTATAGATTCTCGATTAATTGAAGCGCCGTATATGGATGATAACAGAACCGAAAATGTTGATCCAATTAGTTTATCAAAATGGTTGCAATGTTATGATGAAGAAATTGATCAGATTGGTCATCGAACATTGTTCAATGAATCACATGGTTTTACTACAAAAGTATACATTTATGGTGGTAATTTTAAACATTGTATTCGATCGGATAAGAAATTGGATCGATTCGAAATTTTTATTTGGCAAATGGTAATATAACCACAATTATCTACAAACATTTTTAAGTTTTAAGTTTGATTCTTTTTATTTCTCTTTGTTTTCCGATAATAATAATAAGTTGGGTTCGGCCACTATACGTTTGGATCAACAGCCACAAATTCATTTAAAAACGGGAAATAGTTTAAGAATTCCACCATTTACACGGTATGTAGTTATGTAATACCAATATTATTTTAATAGTTTTCATAATTTTCAAAATAAATGGGAAAAAAACTATAGTGTCGAATTGAACACAAAATCTGGTTGCTATACATTGGTATTATCAATGCCATCATCATCATCATCAGAATAAACTTGGTCCAAGCGAATAATGATCAAATTTATTTGCTGATAGAATCAGAAAAAAGTTAACCGAATGCTAACAACAACAACAAAGACAACTCGAAAACGAATCACATTTTCAAGACTAATATTAAACATTTGAACATTTTATGATGATTACAACACACAGATACCTGAATGCATCGAACAAACAAAGCTTAATAATCAAGGGAATGACCAAAACAAAACAAAAAAATTGACCGGGATCATTTCGAATCGAATTTAAATCTAAAAAACAACATCAATAAAATAATGATTCATATAAAATAAAAAAACAAATGGAATTTAGCAAAACTGAAAATTTAATATAATAATAGTAGTAGAATAACACCCTACTGTCTAATTTATCTTTGAAAACAAAACAAAAAAATGAACATAAATCTTGATTATAAGGATAAAATAAACAGAAGCTTTAATAACAGCTGGAATTGACCAGAAAAAAAAGAATACCTTCACAATGACAATACCAATGAATGTTGTTCCAGAAAAACAAAACAAAACAAAAAAATCATTATATTTTCTATTACTAAATGTCCATTGAAAAATGACTTTCAATTCAATTATTTGATCATCAAACAACAACATTCCTATACAATATTTTATTTTCGTTCATTCTTTATGAAAATTTTCATTTAGAGATGAAAAAAATTCCTTTAATTTGGGTGATTGATGAACACAAAAAATTTCTATTTGGTTTGATACATTCATCATCGTCATCAACGGGGGAGATGTTCATCATTTGAATCCTAATGTTGAAATTTAACATTCCAAAATAAGTTCTATCGTAGTTTTTTTCAATGTACATTTCAGATGCACAAACACTCTAGAGAAATTTTTTGAAAATTTAAAAAAAAGTTCAATCCTCTTCATCATCTCTACAAGGACATCTTAATTTTTATTTTTATTTTTATTTTGATAAATAATTCGATCTTAACTTTGATGAACGATAATGAAATTTGAATTTTATTTTTTTTGAATCAAACGAATGAACATTGCAAATATAATCAGATGATGAATAGAACATTTTTCAATGAATAACATCAACATAAAACGAAATGAAATTAAATGAAAATCAACATAATCAACTAACATACTACACATACAATCCAAAAAATAATGGATTCTGAACGAAAAATTGATTGTAAACATGCTATTTACCAAAAATTTATATTCATCATTCAAACAACCGTATCATCATCACGAGAATCGCAAATGAAAAAAATTCAATTTTCATGTCGCAATTTTATGTTTGTCAGTGTGTGTGTGTGTGTGATCACAACATTTTCATGTCCAATGGTCAGTGAATTTGAACTTATCGAAAAAAAAATTTATATTTATTTGATCAATGATTTCGTGCGTGTAGCCCAGAAAAAAAAATATCACTATCAACAATATTGATACATATATTGAACCGACCAACCAACCGACAAATATTGAGAATCACGAACTTAAATCCCAAAAAGAGAAACCTGAAAAGCAAGATTTATTCTGTTTGACTCTGCTATATTCTGAATCGTTGTTTGTTTAGTTCAATATTTTTTTTCAAACAAAACAAAAAAAAAATCAGCATCATTGTTTTAGTAATTCAATTCGATTGAATTGGTCACTATCGTCATCAATGTTTGATACCGTTGTTTCACATTCAGAAAACTTTCCTATTTTTTTTTGTTCATTTTATTCATGAAGATCGTCAAATAAGAATCATTGAAATAGTAAAATAAAAAACAAAAAAAATATTTCTATTTACAACAGCAACAAAATTCTGTTTAGATTTTTTTTCACTTGGATTTTCGTGATGCCATTGGTCATACTATTATACTTTTTATATTTTATCAATTTGATTTGATTGAATTTGACACGCAAACTTGTGAATTTTGTTGTGTTGTTGTTGTTGTTGTCTAAAGAAAGGGAAGAAACTGGGCATATGTTGTTCGGACAATATTAATAAAATAAACTTTATTTGAAACATTTGGATCATCAATCGAATTAAATCGATGATTAATCACATAGAAATAATTAATATTATTATTCACCCACATAACATACATTCCGGAAAAAAAATTGGCATTCATAGAATTCAGATGAAGGAAATTCTTTCGTTAATCAATGAAGAAGAAAAAAAGTTTTATCATTAAGTTTTGTAATAAAAGTTGCAAAAAAAAAGAAGAAGAATTTCGACAATTCAAATTAATCAATCAATCAATCAATCGTTTCAGTCATGATGACTGTAATTCAATTATGTTATACGGCAAACAAGCGAGAAAAAAAGATTCACACATTCATTTTGGATTATTTTTTTTTTGTTTTCACCCGAAATGAGACCACAAATGTAACAACAAACAAAACCAGAAACAAAACTTTAACCAATGTGTAATCAATGAGTTGTTATCGTTTTGATTGACATTCAACTTTTTTTGTTTTGTTTCCAGTTCCAAAATATTCATCTTATAATGACATCGTTCATTTTGGTAGATTCAATTGATGAATAAATTCAAATAGAATAATGAATAGAATTTGAATTGACAATGATTCGTGTGGCAAGAAAAAAAGTTTTTGATTCTATCTTATTGTTTCTTATTTTTTCCCAATTAAAGAATAGCAAGTACACTGGAAAATATCAATTTGATTGATCAAACTTTTCTTCCTTAAAGGTTTTATTCCGCATCAATTAATAGGATTCTTTAGGCATAGAAACTTTAATCGTTATTTTTATATATAAATGAAATTTTTGTCATGTTACATTTCATTGGAAACAAATAACCCAAAATGGACAAATAACCTAGCAATAATGAAATGAAATGTTTTCACAACAACATCAAATCAGTCATCATTTATTCTTATGATTATATCAGGGAAAAAAAAGAATAATATAAGAATCTTATGAATAATGAAAGTGAAAAAAAAGAAGAAGAAAAATTTTGATTCAGCAAAAAACATGGACGACGACGACGAAAAATGATGTTATGAAAAGAATAGAATAAAGTGCAGAAAAAAAACAACACTGAATAACGAATGGTTAGAAGAAAAAAAAGAAAAGAATAGTAAGACCTAATGCAATTTGACGATAAGAATTTTTTTGTTGTTGTTATTTGGTGTTGTTAAGATTCAATTCAATTCCTATTGAAATCTGCATTGAATGTTTGTTTGTTTGTGAAAAGTTTTTTTATTTGGTTGTATTCTTCAAATTCAATCATCATTGGTCGATATAATACAATAGTATTCTTTATATGTGAATGATGATTATAATGTTGTTGTTGTTGTACATTTCACAAATCCACTAATAATCACAACAACAACAAATATATTTTTATGAATTTGACATCCATAAATATACAACAACAACAGCAAACTATCACATTCAACTACAGTCGTCAAATCGAATATATGAAATTTTCGTTTTTTCTCAAATTCTTATGAATTCGATAAAAAAAAAGAGAGAAACTTTTAACTCACTTCAAAAAGTATCCAAATTCAATATTTTTTATATTAACGAATGATCAATCAAGGATTCTAAGTGGGAAAAAAATCATAAAACATTAGAAAAAAAACATTCAACTTTGACTTTTATCCTTTTTTTTTGAGGAGCCAAAGTTTTTTCGCAGAATAAATTTAAACATCCAAACAAAATAAAACAAAAAAAAAATCTAACTTATAATAACTTAATCAGCATTGTGCAGAGCAATGACAGCAACAACAACAAAAAAAAAATCCCCGAGAGAAACTATATAGTTATTTAATAATAATGATGATTATGATGGTACAAACGAAACTAAAAATAAATAAATAAATAAAAAAGAATAATGAAAACAAACATAATTCTGATGATTCTAGAATGCAAAAATTGGAATTGAAGAACAAGAATAGAGATAAAGTGAGGGATAGAAGAAACAAACAAAAAGAAAAAAAATTTGTCCAAATTGTGTCCTTTCTTTAATTGGCTAAGTCTGGCCGGGTTTCCCGCAACAACAACAATAATAATAATAATAATGGTAATAATATTGGATCTTTTTAAATCATCAAGATTTGGCTTTTGTATTTTTGTTTTTGTTTTGTTTGTATGATTATTATTATTACCATGAAATAATAATAATAATAATAATAATGATGATGATGATGATAATAATAATAATAAATACAATGGCCTTAAATCTATCACCAAAATGAAATGATGCTTTTAAAAAATTTGATGTTTTTTTTCGAGATTAAATTTCATTTTTTTATCTAATGAATTTCTTTATTTCTTTAACATCCATATGTAACACACACATGAATGATATAAACAAATAATAATAATAATAAAAACTTTGAAGAAAAAATCCTTTAATTTGTAATGGTGTTGGAACAGACAAACAAAAATACTTGAATCAATTTTTATGATTAGTAGTCTCAATGGACACCAACAACAACAAAAAAAACATGGCTATAAATCGATAATGTTTTTTTTTTCATTTCTCAACATGTTGTTCTCAATCACATCAGTGTTGTTATTTTATGTTTGGAAAAAAAAGTGAGCATCACTTTTTGGAACTTATTGCATATTGAACTAAACCCGAAGGTTTTTTTTATTGTTGTTGTTGTTTGCTGTTTGTTAATACAAAACGATATTGTTAAGACCAACACAAAAAAAAACTTTAAAATACCATCTGATTCTTATTGGCGAATAAAATTCCTAAGATATTCAAAAACTTTTTTTTCATAGGAACAAAAAAAAGTTAAAACATTTTGAAGACAACACATAAGTAAAATTCTTGCATCAACACTGAATGAATGAAAGTTGAGATTTCACACATTCAGGTGATTCTTCATTGTATGAATTGTATAAGATTATTGAACTACTCAAATTATCATTCCAAATACAAACCATTCATTCATGTTTTGAATGGATGGAAGTATTCGTTTTATTTCTCATCATTTTTTCCATTTCGCTGCAATTCATTTTTGCATTTTCCAATGAAATAAGATTTTCTTTTCATCATTTTTTCTTTTTGTCTCTCTTTCATTGCAATTTTTTGCATTCAG